CAAAAGAAAAGTAACACCACAAAAAAAAAAAAATTAAAATTTGTTACTAATCTTAATATCAGAATTATCACAGAATCATAATTACCAATATTTTTGGGCTTTATATTATTGAGTTTTGATAAAAAAAAAAAAACAAAATTCAATAGGGTTGACGAGTTCCTAGTCTATAATTCTTAACGATGTTCTTTTCTACCCATATCTGTTAATAACCAAACTCGCCAACAACAAATAATTATCAAATGTTTTTTAATTAACAGCTTTTCAACTGAACATAGTCTAAAATTCGTTAGTTAAATTTTCGTGGTCACTTGGAAGAGAAGGCCAAATTGGCCTCTAAAAAGCTTGGCATGCTCAGCAGAGCGGGACAGTATTTCATGCCGGCACACCGCCTGCAACTTTACAAGGCGCAGGTTCGGCCGCACATGGAATACTGTTCCCATCTCTGGGCTGGGGCTCCCCAGTACCAGCTTCTTCCATTTGACCGCATCCAGCACAGAGCGGCTCGAATAGTCTACGACCGAGTGCTTTCCGATCAGGCTCGATTCACTGGCGCTGCGAAGAGATGTTGCATCTCTTTGCATTTTATTTCGCATAACCATGGGGAGTGCTCTGAGGAATTGTTCGGATTAATCCCAGTCGCCAAATTTTGTGAACGCACTACGCGGCAAACATCCGGTACCATCCACACAATCTGGATGCTTGGCGGTTCACCACTGTACGTTTCAAAAGGAGTTTTCTTCTGCGTACGACCTCTCTGTGGAATAGTTTACCACCGGCGATTTTTCCGGACCGATACGACCTGGGGACCTTCAAGAAAAGAGCTTACTCCTTTCTAAAGGGCCGGCAACGCACCTGCAATTCCCCTGGTATTGCGGTTGATCATGGGCGGCGGTAGTCACTTAACATAAGGTGAGCCGCATGCTCGTTTGCCCCCCTTCTATAAAAAAAATAAAAAAACTGCATCAATCAACTTCCTGCACGTCTTACCAGGTCACTCCATCTAATTCACCGTCAATCGCCGTACCAACACTCCACTCCATCTCGGCTGCAGCGGTACAGGGAGAAGAATCTCCTCTAGCCGCAGCTCACTAACACACATCCAAGGGCTCGACAAGCCCACCCAGAGTGACCACCTCGTGCCAGACATGTGAGGCCCCTACTCTTAGCATGGGTTACCAAGCCACGGCTACCAACCCTCCCGCCGATGTATTAACGACAAACAAAGTAAACGATTATTGTTTACTAAACGTATATAATATAATACGTATATATATATATATATATATATATATATATATATATATATATATATATATATATATATATATATAATAAGTATATATACTTATTAATAAATCGTTCCGTTTCGTTAGAAAATTTTGGACATTATACCCGCAACGTGCAATAAAATGGCGCGTCTAATTGGAATTGTTTGCATCTCGTTGTGTAAATTACCTACTTAGGAAGTTTACTTTTGTTAAGGCATTTTGATTTAATATTAATTCGTGGGACAGTAACGTGTCACTTACTAAACATTGCCTGATTTACTTTTGCTTAGAATAGATTTAACGCCAGGTAATAGTTAGCCACTCGTATATAATAAATACGCCCTTTAGTTTCTGTTCTCCACCACTACGCGATTTGGTTTTTGATTTCATAACTGCAAAATGGCAGGAAATGCAAATGAAATGCAATTTAAAGTCTGTTACGCAAAAAGAGATATGTTGTTTTCTCGTATGCAGAATTTTTTGTGATCATACAAAAAATATTCATTTAGAGTCGGTTCGGGAAACATTTTTGTGTGAAATAGAAACTATACATTCGTTGCGTTTAGATTTTGAAAATTTATTGGACAAAATTAATAGTCATGAACTGCAAAGTGATCCCGATTATGTGGTGAATTGCCAGTCGCTTTCGTCATTTGAAGATTTATTATGCCGCGTGAAGCGAGCTGCCAGGCGGCTCCAACCTGTAGCTCAGATTCACGTGAATCCAGCAGTTCAAGTACACTCACGCGACGTACCTAGATTGCCACCTATCGATATCCCAATATTTAATATTGATATTAAAACTGAGCCGTTATTTATAGCTAGTTTTCAGAATACTATACATAATAATCCCCCTTTATCGGATGCTGAAAATTTATATTATTTAACTTATTGGTAGTTAGCTTGCTTGGATAGCCCTGGAGTCAGCTTTATAGACACTGTGAAGAAGGTCCAAATTTATAAAGATAGATCACCCAGCGACCCGTCAGGTGACAAATTCAGTGTACGTGGACAGCGACACTGAGCTGCTGCAGCAGGTGTGCCGCCTTGGGAGCGACGGGTTGGACCTGGTGAGGCAAATATTGCTTGGCGGAGCGAAATAATCCTTACGAGAGAGGGAGATCAGGCTGCAAGCAGACCTATCCCCTTTGTCGAAAGAAATGAGGAGGCTTCGCGAGCAACAGGCCACCAGCACTGTTATTCCAAATATTTGTCGCATGACTCCACCGCTTAATATTATTAATACATCCGATTCCCTCGAAGATTATATAATTTATAATATAATTACCACGCGGTCACATTAACTTGACGCATGGCTTTGACGACGTCATTTTGGCGGTCAGGTACAGTGCGAAAAAAAGTATGTAGCTAAATAAAAACTATATTTTTGATTTCTTAAATTTTAAAAAAGTTGTTACGAACGGTGATTCAGCAGAAACGGTTCGATTTACATTTAATAAACAACACCATAGACAATTTGTCCTTTGAACTAAAGACAGTTTTAACGACATTTGATTTTAATAATTGCATCGAAACTTTAAATAAACGAGAAACATCAAAATACAATGAATGCAAAAATAAACAAATAGAAAAATACCAAAAATTAACGATCAAATCAAATGCCAACCAACTAAGTCAACGTCAGAACGAAACACAACCGTTGACCACAGACGTAAATAACAAACAACGCACGGTCTATAATCTGTCAAAACATACACTGGACGAACCGACAATAAAGGTATTAGCGAAGGGAATGAAAAATCCCGTACGAAGAAATTATCTGCAGTGTTGAGGACTGTCTGTTTAAGAATAATATCGGTAAGGAAGATTTGGAGGCTATACGTCAAGATATTTCGTCCTTGTTACGTCGTAGTGCAGTGCCGAAACCAAACCTTCCTAAAAACGAATTTACAGCGTTGATTAACTTACGGAACAGACCACTCGACTAACGATTCTCCGCGCGCATAAAGGAAACGCTACGGTAATAATGGACACGTCAGAGTATAGTTTTAAAATACTACAGATTTTATCGGACGAAAGTACATATAAAAAGGTCAAAATAGACCCCACAACTAACACGCTTAAAACAACTAGAGATTTAATAAAGAAATACTCCGGAAAATTAAATCTCGACGTGAACTCGCTAACACCATCATGTACCAATCATACCATTTTGTTAGTGAGATAAAAGACCTACATCTCGCTGACAATGAAACTATGGTCAGTTTTGATGTTCAGTCACTATTCACATGCCTACCTATTGAAGACTGCATCTCAATTGTAACTAGGAAACTAGAAGATAACAACATGCCTGCTGAATATGCAGTATTACTCAAACATTGCCTCACATCTGGCTATCTATTGTGGAAGGAAGAGTTCTACAAGCAAGTAGATGGTGTGGCGATGGGCTCACCTGTATCTCCCATAGTCGCCGACATATTTATGGAGGACTTCAAGGAGAAAGCCCTTCTTACTGCTCCTGTAAATCCAAGATTCTACAAGCGGTACGTAGACGACACCTTCACAATTTTACCATCTGACAAAGTAACTGCATTTTTATACCACCTTAACTCTATAAACTCTAAAATACAATTCACAATGGAGTTAGAGGCAAATAATTCTTTAGCTTTCCTAGATGTTTTAGTCATTCGAAATCCTGATAACACTATTGGTCACACTGTGTATAGAAAAAAGATCCATACCAACCGATATTTAAATGGTGAATCTCACCATCATCCTTCACAGTTAGCTACCGTGGGTAAATCTTTGTTTCAGAGAGCACGAGGGATCTGTGACAGAAAACATCTGGCCACCGAGCTGCAGCATGTCTAGCAAGTGTTGCAAGACAACAAGCTTCGGATCCCGCGCCTACGTCACAGTGACAGAGTGAAGCCGGCCACAGTCATGCGTGTGCCTGCTGTACTACCATATGTCAGAGGAGTCAAAGACAAGGCTGGCTACATCTTGAAGCGAGCTTCCATTAAAACATACTACAAGCCGCCGAAGAAGATTAGTCAATTTTTATCATCCGTCAAGTGTAATATCCCTCTACAAGATGCAGGAGTGTACAAGTTAGATTGTGAATGTGGTCTCTCTTACATAGGTCAAACAAAAAGATCCATAAAAACCCGCGTAAAAGAACATATAGCTGACGTGAAGCACCGACGCTCCGGGAAGTCTGCGGTCTGTGAACATGTTCAAGATCGTCCCCACCATTACATCAGATTTGATAAACCACAAATCCTCGCAAAAGAACACCGATTCCTACCAAGGATGATACGCGAGGCTATTGAAATTAAAAAACATCCTAATTTCAATAGAGAAGATGGTTGGGTGCTGCCATCTGCTTGGGATCCTATAATTAACAAAATTAAACCCAAACCCAAACATACCACTGCAAGACTTCAAGATACTGTAAGTTCGTTTTGCGTAAATCGGACCAAAAATTAATATTCAAAAACTGAAGGTAGCCGGGCTAACAATGACATTGGGACGTCAAACATCTCAGTCCCCCCCGTGACCATGTTTGCTGTAAAGCACCCGAAACGTCGGGAATTAAAAATAAGTAAAATCAGTTAAATAAACGCGATAGAATCCGTAAATTTAGTTTTATTCAATATATTTTTGATTTTGGAGCATAGGTTTTATTTGTTAATCTTGCAATATGTTGCATCATGTATTTTTTATACAATATAATTTAAAACTATTTTATGTTGATAAATAAATATTTATTCAAAATTCATCTTCACTATAAATAATTGGTACAATATCATGGTCTAAAGTGTCTTCTTCTTCACTTTGGATCTCGCTGTCAGATGACTGCTCTCCTCGAAGATCGATTACAAGTTGCTGCAGTATGTCGTACGTCCGACGTAAATCCGTTTTTTCCTCCAGCATGCACCAATTTTTATTCACGTTGCTATCTGTACTGTTTTCCAGCATTTGCTGACGGTATAATGGGAATGGATCCACGTTTCATCCAGGTAGATAACTGGTTTTTTACCTACGCCGAGGTCATTGTTCTCTTTCATTCGGCGCAGGTAGCGTTCTCTCCATGCGGCTATATCGGCTTTTTGAATTAGCACCGAACGCGCACTTTTAAATTTTTTAAACTTATGACCCAACTGATTTATTAAAATATTTCTAAGGAAAGTTCTTCCACCTTGAAAATTAAGATCTCTCTTAACAGCTGCCAAGATTTTTTAAGCGTGGGTACTTCCTTTTTTTTTACAGTATAAAAGCTGTTGATGATATTGCGTATTGCGCAAATATCAAAATCATCCACAATTTTTTTCGCTGATTGTTTACGCTTTTTACCCGGTGTGGACAACTTTATTTCCCTCATTGAATTGTCTGTAGTACTTGGACTGGGACAAATGTCAGTGCTTGGAACGGTGCTAGTATTTGGGGCCGTACTAATACTTGGAGCCGTGCTAGTGCTTGGACTAGCGTCGGGCGAAGAACCCGACGGTGGTACACATGCCTTTTTGGCCTCCCTTTTTACACGAGTAAGAGTACTTCTTGATATTCCAGTTGCTGCACAGGTTCGTTTATCAACCTGATCTACAGGAATGCAAAAGCGTCTATTTTTTTCTCTCATTCTCGAAAAACTGCAGCACTTTCAACACAAGATTTCTCCCTTCACTGTGTATAGTTTTCCCCATGTTAAAAAATGAGTAGTAACAAAAATAGTCCGAAATTAACAAAAACAGTCCAAACTTAAACAATAATGAAAACGTAACAAAATGTCCAAAAACAGCCAAACTTAAACAATAACGAAAACGTAACAAAATATCCAATAACAACAATAGCAACAGAAAACTAGTCAAAATATCGACGCGCGTGGACGCGCGTATCGGTAACAAAGATGCTAACCATACTGACGATTGTCAGGCGAGCTAAGGGAGTGCGAGGGGAAGCGGGCGGGGCCTCGCATTCCAGCGATGCGTCAAGTTAATGTGACCGCGTTATATATAATTGTGTGTGATTTGAATATCAGTTTATCTCCAGCAGAATTACAAATTAATATGTAACTTATTAATGCAAACACGCGGGCTCAGACCATGACATTACCTATAATATGCTTTATGCACGCGGGCATCCGGCACTAACAGGACCGTCAACATTTACTGTGTTAAAGAAAGAAGCTTTCATGGGTAGCATTTTTATTATATTTAATTAATCAATATTGCTCAGTTGAAATTTAAATAAATAAAATTACATAATAGATCATATTCTTAATGTACTTGTAATAAGGGCATATGTATTATACAAAGTAACGAAATAATTCAATTGTGATACTCTTATGTGATGTTTTGTCCACATTCATTTTAATATTTAAAAATCATTGCAATATTATGCTGTTTTTACAGTAGAATATACAATAAATTTAATATTCAGTGTCTTAAGTCAATATAAAGAAAAATATATGTAAACAGAATATTATCTACATTAAACCTTTTTTGGATTTACAATTCCTACTTGATTATAATATTATGATTTGAAATTAACAAGAGTTACAAAATTACAAATGTTACATCAAAGCAGCCATGTCCAAAATACATACCGTATAAAATATGTTAAAAACACAATACTATAAACTTTTAAATAAAGACATGCGTCATGAAATAAGAACTGAAGGGATTTGGCACTATTTGTAAAATATTATTAAGAAAAATATTAGAAGAAACATATCCCATCAGTACAATGGCAAATAAGAAGTATCTTCCAAAAATAATATTTATTTTATATCATGGCATAAACAAATGTAACATGATAACAGTTGAAAGTTGATTTAACACTATTTACAAAGATTAACAGTTTTAGATCTCACTGGAGCGTATTTGCCCATGTCATTTAATATATTTTACAAATTAAGTAATCAGCCCAGGAATTTAAAAAACATTTCTGCCTACCATCACACCGTAAATTAGGAGTTAACGACAAGAAATGTAAAAGTTCTGGATCAGAATGCTTTTCGTCATAAGATCCCTTACAAAAGGATTTAATTATCGTATCATCAAATGTTTTAGTTTAGTACAGGCTAGGAAAAGGCACCGAACGCCTGTTCGGAATTTAAATGAACATTATGAAAAAAATGTTTATAACAAAATCATTTAATAATAAAAAATACAAACCACTGTTTTTCTCTGCCAACATAATGAATTAAGCGAGTCATCCTAGCAAATTGTATCAAACTAAGTGAACGAGCTTATTCAAGCAATGCACTGATAAAATATAAAGCAACAATTTTAATGAATGAATTGAAACTACGACTCCATGTTTACAATAATTGGGTACATATAATATTGATAATATGAAATTGACACGTTTTAGTTATAGCTTAATTAGATATGGTGCTTATGTTTCTGTTGTAGTATTGAATCTTACGATTATAATATTCCCTAATGCAACTATGGCACAGACAGTTAAGGAACAGAACAAAACAAAATACATGATTGAAAGAAAAATTGTCATCGCCGACTACGCCGTAACTGATAAACACATCCAAGAAACTAGAACCAACGTTGCTTGCTAATTGGTGATCAAAATAGAAACTAAAAAAAAAAACAATTAAAAAAAACGAGAGCTTTAAGTAATTTTTGACGCTTATCGAAAATACGATTTTATTCTCTAGCCATAAAAGGTGGTGAAATTTTATGTATAAACCGTAACATTTAGCTAAAAGACGTATTGATTTTGTGATGTAAAATATTGAAATAAGACATTATTATCTCTTTACGTAGTGGCTTTCTTTTAGTGTTAAAGTGCAGTTTGTTGATATTTAGTATTTACTAACAAATAATATGGATTACTTCAATTATCTGAAATAATAATTAGTGTTATGTAATACCTACATATATCAGCTTTTCACTAGATTAAGTGATGACCGTTGATAAGTTGATTAATGCAGATGGCTCAGGAAAGTGTTTTGTGGCATACCTTGGGGGAGGCATATGATCAGCAGTGGACTTGAAGCGATAATGGATGATGGCTTGTTTTTTTTTTCAAATTTTAATTTAAAACCCAATTTTCGTCTGGTTCATATGGCTATGTCAGTTTGGGTTTTTGAATATTCTATAATTAAAAGAAACCTGTTATTGGCCTTATAATAAGAATAATATAGTTTAATGTATACCATATAAAATGTTGTTGGTTTTTTAATAAATAACAAAATAGTGACACTTTTCTGTTTTCTTCTTCTTTTACTCTATACCAAAAATTAAAACCACATAATTTTGCTACATTTTTAAATAAATGTTTAAATAATAGTAAGATTTTAACCAAAAGATAACATATTTGTTTTAAATGGTAGGTGCATTTAAGTGTTAGTTTTGTGGAAAAAGGTAAATTGTATCTGTAAAAAAATACACGTATATATTATACAAGTTAAATTGATAACAACTTTTGAACAAATATACATAATGTGTAATAAAATGAAAAAATTACGCTTAATGTACAAAACTGGCACCATGACGTCATGATACAGGACAATAGATTTTTGTGAAGGATGAAGTGACTAGAGAAAAAAATCACACGAAAGCATAAAAATAGTAGTTTGATATATAACGGGGATTACATCGCTCAAATCCCAAAAACACCCTGTGTTTAAAGAAGTTGGTATGTGAATCTCATCAATCACAATCACAAATAAATTATATTGTTTAAAATTCTAATAAAATGTAAAATATTAGAAAACAATGGAAGTAAATACTCTTTTTAAGATAAATTGTAAATTGTCTCAATAACGGCTTAATAGTTAAGCATGTATTATATACCGAAGAAACCGCAATGATGCATTTAACAATAAGTATTATTTTTTTATTTTGATTTACCAATTGTGAATAATAAAGAAATACCCAGAGCTACACTAGCACCCCGCGCCAAGCACCCCCTCAACGGCCTGTGACAGATACTCGGGAAGCAATACAACAGTGTCTCGACGACTCAAGTCAAATCCACAAGCCCTCAAGGTCATTGGGCAATGTAATACCCTTAAAGGCCAAGTAAGGGGCACTTGACATAATATATAATATATATATATATATATATATATATATATATATATATATATATATATATATATATATATATATATATATATATGTATGTATGTAAAGAGTATAAATCACAGGTTAAAAACATTATGCATTGTTGCAATACATACTACGTAAAAGGTTCGAGATTTACATTTAATGCCAAATATTCGTTTGTGCTCCTACTTGTTCAAGTAGGTACACGTTTCATGCATTCATGTATTCATTACAGCCTACCAAAAGTCACGACGCCCAAAGGATGATAGGGTCATATAGGGTCGCATAGGGTGCTATACGGTCATACATACGGTCATGCGTCATGCGGCGGCAATTTTTCAACGAATAACTAAACCTACTTCCCATGTGAACCTAATATGAAGCTAGAAAAAACTGAGATCAACCTCAATCTCTGAAAGATAAAGCAGAAAGTTTTACGGACCTAGTTGAATCTATAGTAACATTCGTTCAACTAAATTCAGATGTAAATGGAAATTCTAATATTTATTACATAGTGTTAATTTCAAGATTTACAATATTATACTAGACAAAACGAGCAATTATTATTTCAAAAATTTTAAGTTAGGTTGTAATTAGTACGGGGGCCAGCCCTTAACCTGATTACACTGACTCACAGAGATTGGTCGGTCGAATTTAATTTCCTTATTCCATTATCACAAGTTAAACAACAAATAATTCTAAAGTCAGAGCACCTTATAATTGTAGAGATCATCGCGTACATCTACATCATTCGAAGCGCCATCAAATGGCACAAAACCTGTACATGAATATCATACAGCGTAATATTAATAGGTACATATTGACATTATACACACACAAATACAGATCAATGGTAGGAGGAAGCACAAATAAGATTTAATTGCTATTTGAATTATACATATCGTCAAAAATAAGAAAATTTAATCATCAAATTGAAAATAAATAATCATTTTGAGTATTTTTTATTAGAGAGCCCCACAAAACACTTTATTTTATCGACAAACTTTCGTAACTTTGATTTTCCATCGTGGTTATACAGAAAAAGGATTTCCATCACAATACTTTTAAAGGAAAAAGCTAAAATATATAGAATAAACTTTGACACAGATGTGTTCATAAGAATTTAAATCATCAGTAAGCACATGTCACTTCACCGTTATTTACACCGCCACTAAACGTCACTTTCGCCGTCGGTAACATGTGCTGGCTGGCCGAAGTTCCTCGTTATAGACTCACTGACAGTGCGTATGTTTGCTAAGTACCTATGAGCCGGCTCGTCGGAGTCGTAAATTGCACTGAGACTTTCGAGGGACACCAGTGCTTCCGAGTCCATAAGACGAGAGGAGGCGCGGGAAGAAACGTCGTCATCGCGATCGAAGTAGCACGAATTGACGTCACTGAGGGCTGCCTCTGCATCGGTTAGTCCCGCTTCATTTAACATGGACACGTTTTCCAACGCGGGGTCATCAGTCGTGTAGCCTGTGCTCTCAGGCTGCCCGCACTCCCCCTCCCCCTCACCTTCTGAACACGACGAGCTCCATTCGGACTGACTTTCCCCGTAGAGAGCCATTTCCCTGTGATTCGAAATGGCTACCTATTGAAAAATAGACGGCATCGTATGAAAACAAATTTTGATCCACTGAAGTTCGAAAGTCAAGGAATAGTTTATTTAGTCATGCTACTCACCCGGTTGTGAAGTCTTTCCTGAATTTCGTTTTCTTGTTTTTCTTTGGTTGTACTATCTAACTTTCTTTCGGAGTTCTCACTGTGAATACACAAACATATAATTTCATATAAAAATTCATATTATAAATATTGTAAGTTTTAAACTATACATACAAAAGACATAGCTACGGCAAATACATTATACTGTTACTAAAGCCCAGTCGCGAAACAGGAAGAACTTCGTGCAATGACCTCTTTGCCTACTGACAGTGGTCAGAAACATTTTTGTATTAAGTGCGGTTTATACGAAATATTTAAAGGAGGAAATATGTACTAACTAATTAAATATTTGTTTAAATATAAATTGTTTATTTTGATTTTAGTATAAAACAGTTATAAAAATCGAGTTACAATTACTAATTTGGCAGAAATAAAAAAAATTAAATTCAAAAATCAGAATTCGATTTCTCTGTATCGGTGTTATTGTTTTCCGACGACGTCTCGCTTGTTACATTTATTATAAACGAACAGTTTTGTCTACATTATCATCTAGTCTATCCAATTACGATTCCTCTTTTTTTTACGTAACTGATGCAATTTTGCCATGCCTGGTGTTGAACGCATTACCTAAAGCTTCCTTGAGCAGCTTTTAAACATCTTCCATCTTAAATGTTGTATCTTTCCGGGCCACATAACCCCTTGACGTCTGCCCACACTAGTTCGATGGGATTCAATTTGCAGTGATATGGAGGTAATCTCAATACCTCCACACCAACTGCTTTTGCCATCTCATCGACCACGTACGATTGGTATTCAGTTTTGACATATTTCACCTTTCCAAGAGCTGGATATTTGTTTCCTTCGCCTCAAAAAAATGCTTTGATGAAAGCCATTCTTGGATGTCTGGTTTTTTCCAACTAGTAACTGGGATTTTCTCCTGGCATCTAGAGTGATAGCTGGCATTATCCATGACAACAACTGCGTTTGACTCAAGTCTCGGTAGCATTGTTTGAAATCAATTCTCGAACTTGACTGCATTCATCGGTTCGTGATAATCAAATGTACCTTTGCATTCAAATATCAATTCTGGTTCTGGCACGAATCCTTTTTCACCTCCTACACATATTTAAAATACGAGCCGGTTGCCCAAACCCTCCAAAAATGCTTGTTTTCGTGACTGCACTGTAGTGTCTTTCCACACTTTGCCTACAGCGCGGAAAGTAAATGAATAAATTTATCATAAGTTTAAACATTTAACCACTTGATTGATATTGCGAACATCTTATGGACGCCTATTATGGTGGATTTTCGATATATCGATCATTGTAAATATATTAATATCGGAGTTTTACATATAAGTTTATTTATGGATATATCGAAAATCCGATATTTTAAAAAATATCAACAGTTTTAGTTTGAACTGATCAGTTGGAATGATCAGTTTAACTGACCGTGTGTGGTCACCATTAGAGGATCACAATCGCTTTTATCGATCCTATATCCCCTTGTTAGTTCCAGACAAACAGAGTTTCTTTAACATTTAAAATATTAGTATGGGTTTAAGTCAGTCAGTAAATAATAAAAATAAGTCTTACTCGCATTCACCCAAGTTTCATCCAAATAATAAATTGGTCGTTGTTGCTGTCGGTAAGTTTACATATTTTTCAAATATTTGATACGCCAAAATGCTATGTCATATCAGTTGTGGCCGTGGAAGGAAAAGGGGAGATCTCCCGCCGGGCAAGGTGTTCTGCCCGGGGAGCGGCCAACGCTCCTTGTGATAGTTCGGAGATGTTCTATATATACTGTTTATGATTCGGAATGTTGGTAGCGTGATTTAGGCTTCGGTGTATTTCGGTGTGCTAGTGGCGCGACGACAACGCCGCTACATCACCCCCTGCTCAGACCGGAGGTCGATAGTGCAGTAGAGTTGTCGACGGAATGTGCAAGTTGCCAGGAGATTGCCTTGTAGTCTGCGGTGAGTCGAGAAGAAGGCAAGTAATCTGCGAGAGTGCCGTGAAACAGAGGCGAGCAGTAAGGCTCAGAGCCGTGCCGAACACTAGCGGAGGGAGTAGCTTGAAGGAACAGGAAGCATTATTATTCCAGTGCTGCGATGAACCTTGTGAAGCTAGCTGGCTTGCAGGATATGAAGACTGCAGACGATATCTGCTCGGAAGCGAAAGGGTGGGATATTCTATGACGATAATGAAGCTTGAAGTTTCCGAAGGTTGTTTGGCTGCGTTTTCAGATCACGTCGGGGTCACCACTGTGGCCGTGGTAGGAAAAGGGGAGATTTCCCGCCGGGCAAGGTGTTCTGCCCGGTTTCCGAAGGTTGTTGGTTGCGTGTTCAGATCACGTCGGAGTCACCACTATGGCCGTGGAAGGAAAAGGGGAGATCTCCCGCCGGGCAAGGTGTTCTGCCCGGGGAGCGGCCAACGCTCCTTGTGATAGTCGGAATTTAGGCTTCGGTGTATTTCGGTGTGCTAGTGGCGCGACGACAGCGCCGCTACACAGCCGATTAACCCGTTATTTCTCCTTCGTTTCACATACTTAGACTTCAAATGTTTGAGTAATTTATTCAACAATGCCAAGCCAATGTTGGGTAAGGATTCGTCTGTATTTATGACATGTAGCACCTTTTTGCTGTAGGTAACTCTCCTTTTAAATGGAAGCTGTGCAGTGTGCACTATTCGTCTAATGCACTATTTATCTTACCCATCAATCACTTCAATTAATGAGAGTCGTTTTTTCGGTGATGCAGCTGGCTTGACGGTGTCTGTTCAGGTATATTATTTTAAAGTACGATATATGGCCGATTTTAAAATGACCAAGAGATCGGCCTCTTTTGTCCTTCATTTCTTTTTAAAAGGATATTTATCAGGAGACCAGGATTCTTTAACTTATTTAAACCGCTATTTTAAATAAGTAAATTTCTCGGGTAAAAGGTTTACAATCCCTAAAGACAGCGGCCATTGCATCTGTGCGAGTGAGACGCATTATATTTACGCGGGAGTGACAGAGACAGGTAATAACAGGTTAAAGTACGAAATTCCTGCTTCACGTCGGGACTTTAACAGTAAAATTATCATACAAGTTGGGGCGAGGGATCACAGTGTGGTACTCGCCTGGAAGGGGACATTAGGGCGAGGGATCACGGTGTGGCACTCGCCTGGATGGGAGCCGTTGCGTTGAGGGATCATGGTGTGGTACCTGACGCTGCGGTCACAGCGCTCGGGCTCGTGCAGGCGCACCACCACGTCGGTGGGCAGCAGCCGGGGCCAGGGATCGCGGTGTAGTACCTGGCGCTGACGTCACGGAGCTCGGGATCGGGCAGGCACACCACCATAGCGGTGGGCAGCACGCCGGGGCGAGGGATCACGGTGTGGTACCTGGCGCTGAGGTCTCGGCGCTCGGGCTCGGGCAGGCGCACCACCACGTCGGTGGACAGCACGCTGGGGTAAGAGATCTCGGTGAGGTACCTGGCGTTGAGATCGCGTAGCTCGGGCTCGGGCAGGCGCACCACCACGTCGGTGGGCAGCACGCCGGGGAACTGTGCGGGTGCTGGGCTGGGCTCGCGCCGCGCCAGCTGCGCGATGGCCGCCAGCCCGACCGCGTGCAGCGGGCTGCTGTTGTTGTTAGTGGCGAGTACCGCCTCCAGTGAAGGGTTCTGACTCCTGCTGATTATTAACAAAGCTAAAATTAAAAATTATTTCACTAACGTCAAAATCTGTCATTGATTATAAAAGTGATATCAGTACTGAAAAGAATCGGCATAAGCTATGGGCTATCCCGGTTCTTTTCAGTCCTGATCAGTATGCCTATGGGTCATTGTTTTTTTTTTGTGAGAAAAATAATAATCCCGTTACATATTTACAGTAATTTAATTTCGTACTCCCTGATGGCGCGTTACTCCTGTCGCAAGCTGTAGTGCGGTAGACTTATTTTTTAATAAAGGCAACAGTGCTAAATATTGAAGAACTTCAAACCGATTACCCTACCGAGCCTCACTATTCTATTAGTTTAAATCACTCGACTTCCAGCCTCCTAAAAAGCCGTTTTCGCCACACTGTAATGCATATAAGGACTTCTTTTTTTTCTTTTAAAAACGTTACCCCCATACTATTTTCTCCTGTATCGTGGAGGCAGTACACAAACATAAATTGCACAAGGACAAACATCCAGACCTGAAACAATTATTTGTAGACCATACAAATACTTGGTCCGTGCGGGATTCGAACCCGCGGCCCCCAGCTCAGCCACTCATTGCTAAGCCACTGCGCCACGGAGCCGTCAAATGCCGGACTACGATGTGTTAAATCATTCGGAATTTAGTACTCGAAAATTGGTCGAAATTTCTTGGAGGAAGTATTTCTAAACTTGCGGTGCTAAGTCGATTATCGGTGTATCGAAGTGCTAAAGTGTTTATGCAGTAAGGGCAACGATGGCTATCCAAATGTAGAACCATAGTACGAAACCCCATTTGCTGACAATAAAGTCATTACGGCAGAGTCAGAACCTCAGTTCTATGCTCAATGACCTCAATAGTATCTACCAACAGAGAAGTCTTAAAATGAACAGGTACAAAGAAGACATAGGTTATGTGCAACGTCCCCTCACACCTATGTCAGTAGTTGTTAAAACAACTACTCTCAAAGTTATAATTTCCTTATGTTTCCGACGTTAGTTAGTAGACAATGGTTATATGAACTTTACAATGAAAGGTCATATAATCCTAGCGTCGAATTTAAGGAATATGTAAAAAAATATTCCAAAATATTTAAAAGAGTGTGCTCCATAGTCAAGTCATTGTATTTGAGCAACAAAATAAAGACGGCTTCTAATAAAATTAAAATGACATGGAGTATAATTAATAGTGAAACTGGTAAGGTTAGCTCTCGCAATTCGAACTATCAGTTAAGTTTTAACAATAAATTAATTGAATCAGATCAGGACGTTGCAATGATTTTCGAGAAATATTTTACTGATATTCCTATCTTAACCACTAAGTCACTGAATTCTTCTCCTGCCGTCGCCGAATCATTACTTAAACAAAATGTAAATGCGTGTACAAAGAATTTTACATTTCATAAGGTGTCATCAAAAGATATTCTAAAATATTTTAAGACTATTGATATTAAGAAAACCGCCAATCTGTGGGGGTTCCGTTAGTGCGTCTTCAACATCAACATTTTTAATACTAGTATCAAATCTGGTGTGTTTCCTGATATAATGAAGCATAGTAAAGTAACACCTTTATTTAAATCTGGCAGTACATTGGACCCCGCTAATTTTAGACCTATTTCTATACTGCCAACACTTAGTAAAATTTTTGAAAAAAATTATTCTTGATCAAATGTAAAAAAAATTTAATGTAAATAATTTTCTTCAAAAAATCAATTCGGTTTCACAAGAGGTCGCTCAACAATTGATGCTGGTGTTGAGCTTATTATATATATCTTTAATGCATGGGAGAATTCACAGGATGCTTTGGGTATATTCTGTGACCTATCGAAGGCCTTCGATTGTGTTCACCATGAAACATTAATCAGGAAACTTCAACACTACGGTGTAAGAAGTGATGCTCTTAAATTAATTATTTCATATTTAAGTGACAGAAAGCAAAAAGTTGTAATTAATAGTATGACTTCTTCCGGGTCGACTGTACAAATGGGCGTGCCTCAGGGCTCAGTTCTCGGCCCCTTTCTGTTTTTTGTATATATTAATGACTTACCTTACATAGTAGGGGATAACCATGATATAGTATTATTTGCTGATGATACTTCATTAATTTTCAAATTAAAACGACAGTTATTAAATTACGACGAAGTAAATAATGCTATAGCTAAGGTAGTCAATTGGTTTAATGTTAATAATTTGCATTCAAATGGAACTAAAACTAAATGTATGAAATTCGTAACTCCTAATGTCAAACATGTTAATACGAATGTAATTTTAAATGGGGAAGAACTGAGTCTTGTTGATACCGCCATTTTTCTTGGACTCACACTGGACGCAAAGCTTCAATGGCTCCCCCCATATATCAAAACTAGCTAGCAGACTTAGTTCTGCAGTATATGCTTTAAAAAGGATTAGAACTTTTACCAGTGTTGAAACACTGCAAGAATAGTTTACTTTAGTTATTTCCATAGCATTATGTCGTATGGTATTTTTTGCTATGGGGACACGCGACTGACACTGAAATTATATTTATTTTACAGAAGAGAGCCATTAGAGCAGAAACAGAAACAGGAATTTATGGATGATAATAACTCCTGGGAAGGGTGATCGCTACCAAGCTATTTACTAATTTGTCTTGTGTTGTTAATTGTAAACATGATTGTAAGCTATTATTTGAAAAAAAAAATAGTCCCGCTGGGTTTCTTGCTTGTTCTTCCCAGGACAGAGGTTTTTTTTGCGAACCAGTGGTAAATGAAAAAATTGACTTTCAATAAGTATTGCTTATAATCTACATTGAATAAAAAAGTTTCTGTTTCTGTTTCTGTTCACGGTGTTGAAGCACATTAAAAAAATTGTTGGGATTTGTTTTTTGAAATATTACTACATAACGGAATGAAATAAACACGACAATTCTCTTAATTAGACATCTTAATAAATTTACTAAAAAGAAGATGACAACAATAAACAAACTAATTGAAAATGAATAGACGCATCACCTGCCTGTATAAAGTAAAGCAAAATAAAAATTGTGACGTGACATATATGGGCTTTCTCCTAAACTGTCGGCACGTCATCGGTACCGAGTTCAAAAAAGATTTTTAATTTGTTATAACTTTTATTAAAACTTATAAGACGTATATACTTAAATAGTTTTGTTACAATACTTATATATAAGTAATCGAAATCGAAAGGCCATATATATATGACCTTCCGATTTGTGACAAAACTTTTTTTCAAAAACTTAATAAATTGTACGATTCGAAGATGAACAATTTAAACAAGAGGTTCCTTGATGACGGATCCAGCGAGGTTGGGCACGGTTCAAGACATTACACCGCACCTTCTCGTAACGTATTCGTCAAGACTTCAAACATGAAAATGTGTCTGTGCGTGTTGCCAGTGTAAGGATTTGAAACGTGATCCTTCACTGCTTGCCGTAAGAAGAAGCTTAAGGTTGCTCAGGGTGCTATGAAGAGGGCTAAGGTTCGGGCTCAAGTTTAGGTAAGAGACTCAAAGATACTCTTACTCCTCTACTTACTCGTCCCGATGTCTCCGATGATCTATTTGTACTCGATGTAACGCTTCCATGACAAAATTGGAGGAAGAAGTTAGGTATCAAACAAAACCACTTTTGAACATACGCAATAGAAAATAGATACGTATGGCGGCTTCTACTACCCATGCACAAGAAAATTTGTTAAGACTAATCCCGGGGGGGGGGGGGGGTCTTAAGAGGCGACAGAGGGAACAAGCCAGGAGAGGCGCCTTCCCAAGAATAACTTAAAGAAAACCTTCGATTGTATAGGGAGTTGTAGACTTTAATAGGCTTTAATGAACATAATATCATAATTCGTTTGTTTCAATTTGAAACATAACATTTCAAACATAAAGTAGTACATTCTTACCTTAACTCAAGGTTCAAGTCCATTCTCTCGTTTTTAACTGGATTATTTTTTATAATATTCTTGTCGTCTAGCAGCCTTTGTATTTCTCTCTCAAATGGCGGCACACAGGCTACATCCGAGGGACTTCGCTTACTGAAAACATCTCTATTGTCATGGTTTAAATGTTTTAAGTTGTTTGGCCGGCTTCCAGAACTAGAAAACGAGTTAGTTCTCGGAGCCAGACGATTCGACACATCTTTCTTATCAGTTTGGCTGCAACCATCTCGTTTTGCAGATGTTTGAATCATGTTTAATATACTTCTATGCAACTTTTCTTCCTCCTTCTGGTAACTGATGTCATCAAGAATTTTATCTTCTAGGACAGGTTTGTTAGAAACTTTATGTTTCGCATAAATTTCCTTTAAAACATTAGTTGGTTTATTGGCTCGGACAACAGGATAATCGTATGCTGAATTTGTTCCGTTTCGTTGATGTCTAGCGGGTGGAAGCCAAGGAGCAGGTCGTGGAGGTGATGGAGAAGCGTCAGTAGTACGAGAATAACTTTCATCAGATGAAGAACTAAGACTTGGTGACCTAGTAAGCGAACTGAGTTCATCCGCTGAAGAATGAACACGAGGGCTTCGAGCTAATGGCAAGCTTTCACTCGACCTTGGTCTTGGTAGTTTAGTAGGTGGCCTTCTTTTCTGTACGACTGGCGGCCGAGATTCTTGAGGACGTGGCCAAGGTGGAACTAAAGCCCGCGGTGGCGGCCATCGAGGATTACCCGATATACCATGCGGTGGAGGCGGAGGTGGCGTATCATCTTGCTCTTTATTCCAACGGCCCTTAATTCCTTTATGATTATTTCCATTACTTTGGTGTCCATTAGAAGGAAGTAGAGGCTCGTTTTCACCTGCCACTGATGCTTCTCTCAGAGGAGGTAGTCTCGACGGTTGAGCCGCCGCTCTTCGCGCGGAGTTCTGAAGCATTGCAAGCGGTGTTGCCACTCCACCATAAGCAGTCGGTGGATTTTGTGGTAGACTGTTTGAAGAATTTTGACTACTATTGTTGTCTGGTCCTCGGTCCGTTAAAAAGTATGTTGTCATTTCGCCTTTCCCTTTAACTTTCACTTTCCCCCGACAGACAAATTGATAGGGCATGTCCTTTAAAACTTGATAAACTTCTTCGGTAACTTGAGTGTGATTAGGCAGGCCTGTGGAATCCATTCGCGAAGCTACGTTAACTGTGTTACCCCAAATGTCATATTGTGGTTTCCGTGCTCCGATGACACCAGCAACTACTGGGCCGACGTTTATACCTAGAAAAAGAAGTAAAATCGGACATCTGTTCAGTCAACTACTCTAAAAATATAATGTCCGTAATGATTGCTTATATTTACGCGAACACTACACATTGATTAAAACTACTTTTACGGATTATATCGCGTTTAATTTTAATTTTTTTTAATTCCCGTCGTTTCGAGTGCTTTCCAGCACCCATGGTCACGAGGGTCTCCCCGTCCGATTCCGGGAATTAAAAACAATTAAAATTAAACGCGATATAATCCGTAAAAGTAGTTTTAATCCATCTAATGTACGTATTCAAAAACATTACTTTCTTAATTACAGGCCCGACGCTATGATAAATAAGATGATTCTAAGTGCGTTCGATAGGGTAAAACATTTATTTAATGACCAAAAAAACTAGTAGTGCATACGTATAGCATTGAATGGGGTGATATGATTAGTTAACATCGTGATGCGACTTCACTTGAGTTCACTAACGAATAAATAAACGTCAAATTGTCAAAACCCAGGTTGTCAATATAATATAATTAAAATCTCTCTTCATAATCCGTGTTTAATCGTAATGATATATAATAGCAAAAATCTATTCATAATGCTTTATATACTCTTTGCACGTTATTGTAACGATATATTTTTAAAATCTTTCAAAAAAGAAACAAAGCAAAAAATCTAAAAACAAGAAAAAAAGAAAAAAAGAAACTTTCAAAATCATCGGCACTGAAAACTGTTTTTGAAAGTCACGTGTCACTATACTTGTGTTCATCGGCCTTTGTAGGTTTACTCTCTTAAGCATATAAGTATCATATTCTTCTTTGCTACTGTAGCCCACCGCAATATTTTCAAATAAAACAAATTACAAGAAAATATAACAAGCAACAAGCAAAGACTATATTCTCACTACGTTTAAGGGGAAATATAACCTCAAATGGTTTAGCAAGATCCTCCGTTATGCCGAAAGTATTGCAGCATTAATTTAATAAATATATGGTGAAGTTGAGGATTAATGTTAAGGACTATGTTAGACGAAAACACGATTCAGTAAAATTTTCTCGATAGGAAAAAAAATCCAAAGTTACCTCCAAACCGGACAATAAACCGCTGTTATTCATAAAATACTTCAAATAAGATCACGAAACTTTGCATACTAACTGAAGCTATATGTTAAATACCATTATTTTCACTGTAAAAAGAAATTACCTAAACCATCGGCGCGTAAGCTTGATTCCTGGTTTTTGAAGGGAGAAGTTGTGTCGCTTACGATCAGAATACACATTACGCAACAGGACGACGTAAAATTAAAATGGGAAATAACCGTTATAAAAATAAGAAGCGACTGGGTTGGCGTTAAGAAACAGGCATAAATATGATAAACCTAATGAAATAAGTATCTAATGACCTATCTACTTACAGTATCAAGACCGACACTTCGACAAGTACAGTAGCGAGTTTAGTTACATGGCAGTTGACAGTAAACAGTTAAGTAGGCAGTAGCGTTCAAACAATGTCTTCGTGGGGAGTATGGTTAAGAACATTAGTTCATAGAGTTCGTTGCAGTATGACGTTTCAAGACTACAGAATTTTGCCGGTTTTCGTTTAAGATGGTTCTAGGATTACGTCAAGAATTAAATGATCCAGTCAGAGAAGTATTAATGATTGTTGTTAAGGAAGTTTTTAAGAATTTTCATGAGTGCAGCATCTCGAGCAGGTTTAATTTTACAATTTGAACTTCTACTATTATACAAACATTCGTGTTCTAAATACTCCTGTACGAATTTATACGTGATATCTTCTGTGCATTTTATTATTAAAACTCAATATAAAACGTATAAATATTCAATAAACAGTATCGTACAAACTTTGTGGCGAGTTTAATTATAAAAGTACAATTGTACGGTTTGGCGCGCAAACGTTGCGTCCTGTCAACTTATGCACTGAACTAAACTCGCTCGTTTACACGAACGGCGAGTTTAGTTGCGGGTGGCGGGAGACGCGCGGGATTGCAGCACTTCGCACTTAACTCGCCGATAAATAGCTCGGCCGGCTACCCCGTTCAACTTAATCGTTAACTTGCTACTTAACTCGCTTATTGCCGTTCAAACGAGGGTCAAACTTAACTCGCCAGGTTCGCAAGTTAACTCGCTACTGTACTTGTAGAAGTGTAAATCGGTCTTTAGTGATTACAAACATGTCGGTACATAGCAAACGACGCGCGGGGAAGTGGGGGCGAAATTAGAATTTGAGCTGACTTACTATATCCCCTTAAGAGGCAAGGACTTCTTTAGTAGGTAAAAGAAAATCTATGAAATCCATCGCGTATGATGTTGTCGGAAAAGCCGACATAAATAATAAATTGATATGATAATGTCACAACGGGAAGTAATAAAAAAAACTGATTTTATTAACGTTAAAACAAATTCATGTGTATGTGGTAACTGGTAAACTTTAATTTATTATCTTTGAATGAGGACGGTCTTCACTTTTTAATTTATAACAGTTCCTCCCGTGTCTCGCTCCGTCCAGACGCTTGCGATGACCGACTGTTAATAGTAGTTAGACTGTGGCAGTGTTGTAAATGTCTATCTTCGAATAATTTTATATTCGAATAATGAATAGTGTCCTTCGTCCGTCAAGTGTTGTTTATAATTAAGTTTTCTGTAACCTGTGCGTTCGAGTGCATTGTGAGACCTCATGGTATTGTTTGTGAATATACTGGTGTGAAGTAAAACTTACCAACACGTAGCATAAAATTATTGTAAGAGTTGTCATTAATATCCTTGAGTTTATCTCTCATCGCAAAAACGAACTCAACTAGGGTCGCCATATGCTTTTTGGTGCTCGGATCGTCCGTCATCTTCTTGTCCGGTATAAGCCCTACAGCTGCCATATATGTCGATCCAACAGTTTTTATTTTGTCTATTGGACTAAAACGATCTTCCCCTAATAGCTGTAAAAATTTTAATAAATTGTAACGTTTTTATACTAATAATAACACAATAGCAAATGTTTTATAAGTATAACTAAAATAAAATTACAGTCGATAATTCCAATTATTATATAAGTTTCAATGGCAGATATTATTGCTGTTACCCAAATATTGGTATTCTATCTGTAATTTCGATTTAAGGTGCAATTATATGCGCATTAAGATCTAAATCATGTTTGTTTTTTTTAAATATAGGATTTTTTCTTTAACTTAATTCATTATCATTTGATCACGAGTCAATAGTTGAACTCGGCTATCCATTCCATCCTCGCGCAGCGCATAGCCTTGACCAATTCATTGAAGTAATATGTACTAGGTACTAGAACTGACAGCATTCTGTGGCAGGAGACACAGAATACCTTTTCGACTTCCTATGAACAGACTAAGTACGTTTAAGTTCTCGGGCTCGAAACAAGTGTTACGAACAACCAAGTCTCGGTATCTCTGCCAGCACGACCAATCTACATCTACAGGCTCATCTAATTGTCTTTCTATATAGAAGAAGTTGACCTATTATTTTTAAAAGTGTGAGACAGCAATTAGAGAATCTTTCTTAACCGATGTTTTGTGTTTTAACGAACAGTTAGGGTTATATCGGTCGAAAACTAAAATAAGATATAACAATACTTACCTCATCAAAATCGGCGATGATCTCGTTAAGTAGACGCAAGCACTCCATGCCCTGGTTATTGCCATCGAGCTCCATGTAGAACTCATGGTAGTTGGTGATAGAAGCGAAGACTACGCCGACGCGTTGGTACGACTGGTGGTACAGGTCCTGCCAACCGCGCTTCTTGTCAGCCACCGCCGCACATTGCGCAAGCCAGGACACGTCAGGACCAAGTGACATTTTTATACTACACCTATTTGTATTTATATAAAACGTCTACTTTTTTGGACTGATTAAGAATATATTATTTGCGTTGCTACTTTATCGGTCGCACAGGTAAAAACAGATATACTCACGTGATTGCGATAACTTTTAAGTAAATTATATAACTTATTGGTATGTAATGTTTGAAGGTAATGTTAAAATAAAACCAAAGTTTTAGATTTTAGTAATAAAAGAAAATAAGAATGTTGTATTTTTAGAGTGGAAGCAATATAATTTTTTTAATTCTTTACTTATTTTAAACTATTCTTATCAGTCAACATTATGTTATTGCCTGTCACTTGCCCCTATTCGTGTGAGAAGTGCGTGTTGCATAACAGAAATAAATGTACTCATGACATTAAATGAGGTGAAGTGAGTTTGATTTAATTTAAAGTAATTTATAAGGATGAATATGAGTTAGGCCTTAGAGTATTTATAAGCAAGGTTAGACACATATGTGTGAGTAATGCGTAAGAAGCTTGGTGAATAATTATATAAAGCTAGAACAAAATTAGCTTTTTATACTGCGAAGAAAAATATATACATACATATAATAATATATCTGTACAATTATAATAAAACTAAATATCCATTTTTTTTGGATAGAAAAGCAATTACATATTAAGTCAATACAAAATTTTAAGTCTGAGTAGTTAAAAAGCTTTTCAATAATTACCATGTTTGTTCTGAACTGATTGTCCAAGAAATGCGTCGCCACGTGTGCGGGTAGCAAGTTGAATAATATCCTCCTATTTGACGCCTGTAACAAAATGATTAACATGTGGAAATAAATGCTGTTAAAATTATTTATACATAGGTACCTAAGAAGTTTTATAGCGAATAAATCGATCTTAACGCGCTGTCAATTACAGCACTATATTGTGGATGCGGCGTTTAGTTGCTAACATAAAAATAGCAAAAGTTTTCTGTAAAGGAAGAGTAGCGAGCTTACTACGGTGTGCTTATAACCAACTTCTTTAAAAAAGAATTAAACGTAGTGGTGGCCATTCTTCTTTATTTGTACATCTTATCAAAATTTACTGCTGTACTGGCCTTCCCTTAGATAACTCTACAGGGCGGATACTTGCCATAGTTGCATGCTTGGCAGGCGGCTTGGCAACCGTAATTTTTATATTTTAGTTGTTATCAGGAATACGCTGCTGTCATTTTCCTGGTTTGTTTCCCTGTGTTGTCTCTTACGACCCCATGATGATATGGGCTTGTAGATATTATTACACCGCCACTGCACGTTCCATTAACAGTATTGTTTAAAAAGATTTTCCATTTATAAGGAGGAGGGGCGGGCGACCTGCAGCGCGTCCATGTCGCGCTTCTCGTCGCGCGCCTGCGCCTGCCACAGGAAGTCGAGGCGCGCCGTCCACTCGGTCTGGCGCGCGTGCAGCAGCACGCCCAGCGCCAGCAGCAGCGTCCACGCGCACGCCGCGCTCCCAGACCCCACCGCGCCTGCGCCCGCGCTGCACACACACACAAGCACTGCTCTTATGTACACTAGAAACAGCGTCTACCACCCGCTATATTATAGAAAAGAGCAAGCATAAAATAATAAATACTTATGCATGCATAAAAAGCACAAATGGATCGGCTCAATCAAGGAAGGGCCATGTTTTTTTTACGTGAGAGGGAGCAAATAAGCGTGCGGCTCATCTGATGGTAAGTGACTACCACCGCCCATGAATAACTACAACACCTGGGGAATTGCAAATGCGTTGCCGGACTTTTAAAAACAATAGCAGGCCTCCATCACTCTTGCTACCTGCGTGAAATAATTACCTAAAATCGCGACTCGCCCGGGCGAAATAACGCAGTCAGGGCTAACGCGTTAGAGGCGATTGAATGTTCAGATTTTTAATGCTGTTTACGTAAATAGTTTTATATGAAAACTTGTTGAAATAGTTTTTGTTTAGTGTTTAGTATATTTAATTGTAGGTAAAAATAGTTGTAAAAGTTTTGTAATGTATTTTAAAAATTATTATTTGATAAATCATAATAGCAAAACGTTGTTCCTACTATAACTGTTGCTTGGATGGATACTATGACCAACAAAAGAATTCATCATTCTTTAAGTTACCTAAGAATTTTAGAAGGAAGTTATGAAAGGTGAATTTATTTAATTTTTTTTGTTGGATATGTACATACAGCGAAAAAGAATTAAGTAAAAATTTGGTCTACAGAAGAAATACGTAAGTACTTTATCACAAAAATTAGTTAAAATTTACATCACTATCCAAGTATTTACTTACATACCTATACTTGTCTTTTGTAATTAAAATATTTTAAGTTATAATAACACAAAATACTAAAATTAAAACTTTGTATACTAACAAGATTTTTAACTAAGTAGAATAGATCACATTTCTGTTAGGAATCGTATTTCAGATTTATTTGTTGTTCACACTATCTACCTATTTCTTCCGAATCAAGCGTTGCGATTCCCGACGAATGACCTTGCAATTTGCATGCATTAGGCATCGTAGAACTCACATAGGGGCGAAAGTATGGTCAGTCGATCATAGTCAGAGTAGGTACTTCACCTAAGTAACATAATTAACATTTCGCAATGTATTTTTTTACTTTCTAGTGACATCCCTTAATAACCACGGAAAGTCCGCCGTGACTTAGGAAGCGGAAAAGATGCAAAGTAATATGAACACTAACGCGCAGCGATAAAGTTTTATTTGGCTTGCGAGCGCCATTTATCTGATTAATAATAATTATGTAGGCTATTAAAAATCGGCAAGCAATCGACATCAAAGGAGTGCAACTTCTGTACGTAGTACTATTATTTATTCTGTGACCATAGGCTCGGTCCGGAAAAATAACTGGTGGTAGTTGATTCCACAAAGACGTTGAATGAGGAAAAAACTTCTTATAAATCGCACAGTAGTGGACCGCCAATCATCCAGGTGGTAAGATGGTATCTCGACTACTGTCGCGATGTGCAATAGTGAAATTTAGTAGCTGCAATAAGTCCGAACAATTCCTCCAAATAATCTTCGTGCTAAACACGCTAGAATACGCATAAAGATGCAACATGTCTTCGCAGCGCCAGTGAGTCAAGCCGATCAGAAAGTGCTCGTTTGCCGATGATTCGAAACACTCTGTGCTGGATGCGATCAAATGAAAGGAGCTGGTACTGGGGAGTCCGAGCTTAGAGTTGGAAACAGTATTCCGTGTGAGGCCGAACCTGCGCCTTGTAAAGTTGCAGGCGGTGAGCCGGCATGAAATACTGTCCCGCCCTGCTGAGCACGCCATGCTTTTTAAGGCCAATTTGGCCTTCTCTTCCAAGTGACCACGAAACTGCACGTCACTCGATATCTTGACGCCGATACTGGCTGAGGCAACAAGAAGAGTGCCTTGAAACTGAGGAGATACGACTAAGGGGTTCTTTTTAACGGTAAATGCGCAAACTTTTGTCTTCTGGGGATTGAACTGGACTAGATTTAGTCGCCACCAATCCGAGACTTTGTTCAACATAGTCTCGCCTTCAGACTCGACTTCGTCCCGGTACTCGGCGACGTTTTCCCGAAAAATATTGGCACGGCCGGTGTATAAAGCATCACCAGTGCTGTCGTCCGCATAGCAATGCAGGGCAAACGGTATTGGCATGATAGCACTCAGCCTTGTGGAACACCAGCGTTAATGGGCTTGTAATCGGAGCATGCACCGTCTATTAGACCTTGATGCTCTGATCTGCAAGAAAACTGGTGACCCAATTGCACAATTTCTGGGAAAGCCCATAGGAAGGAAGCTTCGTAAAAAGCGCTTTGTGCCAAACCCGATCAAAGGTTTTCGCTATGTCCAAACTAACGGCCAACGCCTCCCCCATGGACTCTACTGCCTCTGCCTATTTATGAGTTAGGTAGCCCAGAAGATCACCAGCCGAGCGACCGCGACGGAAACCGTACAGCTGGTGAACCTCAATATACCGCATGAGCTGGCTGTTAATAATGAACACTATTATTTTAGAGAACAAGGTGATAGCTATAGGTCTATAGATGGACGGATCTTAGCGGTTGCCTCTTTTAGGGGTCGGGTGCACTAAAGCTGTATTCCATAATTTCGGGACTACGCCGAGAGAGTAGGAGTACCGAAAAAGACGCGTTAAAATCGGTGCCAACTCCGAAGCACACGTCTTCAGCACAATGGGATGGACGCCATCAGGCCCAATCGACTTGTTGACGTCCAGGAAGAGGAGTGCTCTGCGCACCAAGCGTTGGGTAAACAGCAAATCCTGCATGGAGCACCCACACCGCGGGATAGTCGGCGGTGTATCCCCCCCCCCCGGTCTAAAAGAGTCGAGTTGGATGCAAAGGGAAAGTTAGCAGATGGGTTTCTCGAAGTCGAACTAGTTTCTCGCCAATTCTGCCGATTTGCTCTATCTTTGCCTTGGCAATGACACTTTTGAAGGACCTGGAAGCGGAATTATACTTCTTTTTAAGAGCGCTGGTATTTGCATCCCGAGACCCTGAACCCAGGCTTGGCAGCACTCTTGCTTATGGCGTAATGTTATTTTGCAGAAGCGACCAAACCATGGCTGGGTTTTGCCTCCGATAGGTACCACAGACGATGGAATAAAAGCACTGAAGCACCAAATTAGCGACAGAATCAGCAACAACGCTGGGATCATCCAGCGAGAAGCAAACCCGCCTCCAAGGGTCCCGTCCCAATCGGCTGACTTATAATGCCAAATGCAGCGGCAGCCTGCAGAACGCAACCGCGAAGGGAGACTGAGTGGCATGTACTCCGGATCAGACAAAGGTCCGAGGTGCCAAGAGGTGCATCGACGGAAAACTGAGATCCGTCAGGATGAGGGTCAACAAAAGGTCAAACAGGGAAGGTACATGATCTTCCACATCTGGGATCTGCGTAGGCGAGATGAACAGTTGTGTCAGACCATATGCCAAAGCTAAATCATAAACAGATCTACCCACATGATCGGTTAAACGAGAACCAAGCCATTCTGCGTGGTGAGCGTTAAAATTACCAAGCATCACAATCTCTGCGGATGGGAACTGTTGTAGCACGGAGTCTGCAGCCATTTGGACGTGGTCGATGAGTCGGTCTCTGTCGGCATACGCGGGGATGGTCGTCGCTGGACACTCGTGGTCGTGAATGGACAGGTCCTTCAAGGCTGCCGAGGCGTCAAAAACAGATGTCCTCTCTGACGTACACGCAAACTCCAGCCCGAGGCACGAAAGAGTGTTCTAATTTTTACTCCGGGTAAGAGAGATACGAAGAATCAGTCGGCGAGGACACCTGTGTCTCGGTTAGGAAGAGCAAGGCCGGCTTCGTCGTTTCCAGATAGTAGTGGACGGCGTTAAGGTTTCAATGAAGTCCCCTAATGTCGCAGAAATTCACGGACAGCGTGGCAGAGGGCGCCTTTGACTTATTGCTCCATTTGCCTTAAGCAGGTTTAGTCTCGAGCGAAATTTCGCCCCCCTCCCTCCAAATCCGATGCAGCCTGATCACCCACGCTCAGGAACAGTGGGGTAGCTTGGGCGTGGATTCACAGCGAGGGATTCTCCGTCACCGGGGGTGCTGGTACCCTCCTGGGGTAGTGTTGTATTTAACTCCGCTGCCATGTTAGGGGGGGGGTATTAGGACTCCGGCCACCTGCACTCACCAGACGAAATGCAGAAGCAGAGCTTCTACTTCACGCTGGTCTTCTGTGTCACGCGTGGTACCACCTCGGTTCGACCTGCCCATACGTGCATTGGTCAAGAGAAACTACTTGCGACTGTATTGTGTTGACATTTTACATTAAAGCCGGCGCAAAAGTTACAGCAGAGTTCCTTTTTGATAATAACCTTGTTATGAAATAGTCGTGCCTTGTTCTTTCGTCAATCTCTAGCTTTTACAGGAGCTTCAACTAGAAACTTTTTACCATGTACTGTATTGGCTTTACTTACTTTGAAAACATTTTTGTTTTGGAAACCATTTTACAGAGGATAATTTCAATAAGGATAAGATGATGAAAAACGTCATTAAAGATTTACCGATTATCATCTCTAATATATGGGCTTCCATTAAAATGACAAAAATATCTTTTAGACACAATATCATTTGAAATTACAACGAACATTTTATTAAAATTAAATTATTTGTCAGAAATTTAAAATTTCTTGAACAACTCACCCTGTCATGATATCGTAGCAGTCGAAAAGATCCTTATGGTACGCCAACATCACGGCAATGTATCCGGCCGTCATGACCGCTAGGAGAATGCCCTTCACTAAAATCGGTAGACGCAAGAAAACGGCCACGGTGAGCATACTGAGGCAGCAGCCTAGCGCGATGTAGAGCGGCACGGGACAGGCGCGATGGTCACCACTACTCCAAAGCGCGGCGGCAACGTCGCCGGACTTTGCGCGGATGTCTGCCATTGTTGTCATGTTCTCGGTCAGGTTGCGACATACGTCTATTTCTCGGCACGTTACCTAGAGGTTGAAGAGTATAAGTAGGAAAAGTTTTGTAGAAAAATGCAGCTCGGATAAAAATTAAAATTAACGGAAAAACGTACTTATTCAGAGTTTTTAAAATGAAACTTAAACATTAGCAATACATCTTTTTATCAGCCCTTCTGGATTTATATATCCACTACCATATATCGTCCCGTAAGTGTCGTAAGATGTGACAGATGGTAACTGAAATAGAGAAGGGCAGCAGCATCTTCTTGATAACATCTTACAATTATAAACAACTGCAATTGTCAAGCCACCTGACAAGCGTGGCAACTATGGCAAAATCACCCCAAGAGATAATTTTTGGGTTTGCCTAAGTTTAGCATTGGACTTTTACCTATAATGCAGCCGAATTGGTGAGTGAAAGTAACTGCAAACGAAAATCTATACTACTAAATAACTTTTTCAGGTAGATGTCGTTAGAGAAGATTTTGAGAAACACCAATAAGATTGAAAGTCTTCTAATAGAGAAGAAGCGCATGTCCAGCTAAGGGTTGTTACTTGTTTGGATGATGAGCAAGAAGGTGCACTCACCACATTCACCTGTCCAACAGCGTAACCCAGGACAATTGTGAAAGTCGTAATTGCGTTTCTGAGCGCAAACGGGCGCGACACGTCGCAAGGTATAAGCCGCAGGCGGGCGGCGAGTGTCAGCGCCAGCACGGCGGCCGACCAAGCGAACGCGGTTACGAACAGCAGCAACAAGATGGTGGTGCGCGGCAAGATGGCGGCCTGCAGCGCACCAGCCGCCGCCAGCGCACCTAGCGCCGCGCCCAGCGATCCCGCCCAGCCGCCGTCCGTTGACGCACGGTACTACAACGTTACACTTTAAACATTCAAATCGGTGTATTAAGTATGAGATATAAAAGTCAACATGAATAATGTGGGAATCCACTTTATCTACCACCAGGGCGGCATTAATTAAGATGAAGTATTATATTTGAAAGATTTAATTTGTTTGAAAAATAAAATATTAATGTTTCTTTCTGTGCTATTACCTATATTTTATATTTATTGCATTAAAAAATAAACCAAACCACAGATAATCATAAAAGTAGAAAAAAAAACTATGTGCAAAAAATTAAAGAGAACACCACAGAGGTGTCGTTTTGTGTATTAATATAATACTCTAGAAACTGATAAACTTTAATATAATACTAACTTCTCAATTAAGTCGAAATGGTATCACGGTCACGTAGATTTTAAGGGGGTGAAGACCCACTCGCAAGCCCCTCGTGTCAGGCTAGCTAAATACTAGCAATATTCCGTTTATCTATAATAGTGGCAATAGCGACTAGTAGGGATGGGCAAGTGAAAAATTATGTCCATATACACCGTATATCGGTATAAGAGATTTTTTCGATATACAGTCATGTTTTGCATAATGTTACTACATTAAGGATAAGCCTCAAAATGGTATTATTGGAAGGTTGGATGACGAAATAAAACGACGACAGCATATGAATGTTTTTGTAGCTTCTTAAGTTTCTTAATGTTTTGTCGATGAATACAACATTTTAAAATATATGATGTTAGTGTAAACACCGTTATCCTTGAAACCAGTGCTTTGGTTTCACTTATAGAATGTAAATTCAATGAATTAAAAAACGCTATTTTCTTTTATAAAATTTAAAAAGTTTCTGTTCGACACCGTCCGTAAATTCATGGATACCCTATGCGCCCGAGTGACGTAATCACTGTAAAGATCACCGCATTGAGATTTTACTAAAAAAATGTTATTTTTCATTGAATTTACGTTCTATAAGTGAAACCAAACCACTGGTTTCAAGGATAACGGTGTTTACACTAACAGCCTGTATATCGAAATTAATATGAACGCGATACTCCAAGATAAATATTGAATATCGATATATCGATATTTTTACGCAAGCCTAGCGACAAGCTGCAGATCTCACTTTAGTCAGTGTAGGATTATTTCATAATCCACTAATAGTTGAATACATATCTACGTAGTATACAAATATATTGTAATTGGTAGATATAACCAGCGCAGTGTTCATTTATAAAATAGTTTCAGCTAATAATTGGGTGCACCAAAATAGTCTTCTCGTGTGGTGGTACGTATAGTATTATATTATATATAGATACAGTATGATACGACTCGTACCTCCTAATGCCTATAGGTGTTCACTTACAAGTCGACGTATACTTACTTTTCAACATGAAAGTAAACTGCATACCTACCGGGGTAAGTACATAGCTTATTTTAATGTTAAAAAGTACTTCATCATTATTTTATTTGGACACTATCGTCCGAAGCGGTTTTTGTAAACTAATAAGTACCAACAAATATTGTTTTTTTATCACTTTTTTTCCCAAGCGTCTTGGACGATGGTGTGCAAATAAAATAATAATTAAGTACTTTGCGACATGAAAATAAACTAGGCATGTGCCTAGGCACACTCAAGTGTAACTTACCAGTATTTTTTTATAACGTTACCCCCAAACTAGAATTTTCTCCTGTATCGTGGAGGCAGTTTACAAACATAAATTGCACAAGGATGAATATCCAGACCAGGAACAATTATTTGTAGATCATACAAATATTTGATCCGTGCGGGATTCGAATCTGTAGCCCCCAACACAGCCACTCATTACTAAGCCACTGCACTACGGAGCCATCACTTCGTCAAAGTCAAAGTGTATCTGTTACATATACGAGTTTCTTCATACCTATAACAAACGTTTAGTTATCAGTTTGTATTATATATTTAGTATACTATTTACATGTTTATTACTTGCTACTACTAGCTCACTGTTTGAATCGATACTAGGACTAAGAAAGACATCCAAACTGTTTTTGTCTAAAACTGGTTCCGATGCCTAATGTTTCATGAGTGCAGGTCTTGAAACCTGCAATTGTGTGAAATAAACTATTTCGATGGCACGTGAATTCTATCAGCATGTACTAAAGAGCGCGGTGGAATAACCCCGCTGTGTGCGTGTTTGTGTGTGTGTGCGTGTGCGTGCGTGTGCGTGCGTCCATTGCGCGTGCGTGCGTGTGCGTGTGCGTGCGTGTGCGTACGTGTGCGTGCGTGTGCGTGCGTGTGCGTGTGCGTGCGTGTGCGTGCGTGTGCGTGCATGTGCATGTGCGTGCGTGCGCGTGCGTGCGTGCGCGTGCGTGTGCGTGTGTGTGTGTGTGTGTGTGTGAAAGCCTGTGTCTAGAAGTGGGACTTATATATCCCTAAGTGAGTAAGTATCTTGAGTACCTGAGCCTCCTTCTCCGCGTCTTTAAAACATAGCGTCAGCAGATGCACGTGCGTCGCCTTCTCGCGGTGCACAGAGCGCGCGTCTATCGCCTGCGCCAGGTACTTGTTCACGCGATTAGTGGGCTGGTGGTACACAGAGGAATGACGTTTTTTCAACGGTCGCTTGAATTTCTCCGTCACTTTATTCTGTAAAGTTATTACAAACAGTCTCAACACTCTGACTTACGTATTTTTGTATTATACCTACAGATCATAAATTTTGATACTCATTGATAGAGAAATGCAGTCACTGTAAGACGATGAAGATGAACAAAAAATAATAAGAAAAGAGGGATAATTTTGATTCCAGGTTTAAATTTATAGATTATTAGAAACACGGGGTAAACACGTAGGGTCCACCGCATGCCGAGTCCATGCTCCGTTCAGTTTTTGACTGACCTTAAAATGGGAAAGTTCCAGAATCCAAAGCAGCATTGCATTAATTAGAATTGCAATAGAATGAAATAATATGATCAGAATACAGAAATAAAGAGATTTTATAATCTTTAAAGATATTGATATTTATTTTTAATAACTTGATATAGTCCAGAATTTATTATTTTCCATAAATTATTTACCATTTTTATATTATTAGTCATAAAATTAAGTAAAAATTCAACAATATTAAAAGTAATCAAGCATAAAATTAAGTTATAGATTTATTAAAAAAAGTGCATGCAAGTTGGCCGACAGGATCATGCCATGCTTCAGTGCTCGAGGTGGCTAGTTGGGGCAGCGAGTGAAACACATTTCGGTGCGTTGAGCTTTATTGTCAAACAAAATTCAAATAAAACAATATTAAAAAAAATTACAGTTTTACAATTTCGAAAGCAAAATTAGTCTCATAAAGTGGCAGTGTGTGTGGTTTTTGAGTGGTCGCGTTGCTCTAACACTCGGTTTATTCACCTTCACGTTTAGGATGAAGAGGTACGAGTCACCATACGCAAATAGGTGTGGTCCACGAACAAACATCGAGTACCTAACGAAACAGGGATATATATATATATATATATATATATATATATATATATATATATATATATATATATATATATATATATATATCAGAGTTTATGTCACCCGGTGAACGGGGGGAAAATAATAACAATACACAACAACATTCTTGTCTGCGCTTACTGTTTCGTATTCATCGGGTATTTGTTGTGGGACTAAAGTCCAAGGTCGGATTATCTGAAAAACAATGAGCAGACATCGTATATTAGTCGCTGGCCTTCCACGTATTGCGTTTATGTGAGAGAAATAAATAAAACACCTAGGGATGAAAGAGAGGATATATTATGTATCATTTTACTTACGACAGGACGAAGCTCATCTTTTCGTGTTCGTTCGTATTTTAAGTATATGGTGACAGACATTCGAATAAATTTAGTATGTGGCATCACGTACACAAAAAATAAACAATATGTGAAAGCTTTAACAAACCAGCAACTAAAACGTTCAACGAAGGAAACATTGGGAGATATTAGGACGTAATATGGGACGACACCACTGGGTAACCCTAAGTTCGCAGAAATAGGCTAGTTGTGTAATTCTGAAGCCGGTATAGTATTGACGGGTGAAGATGATAAACGAAAGTTGTGTTAGATGCAGAGCAAAATATGAAAATCCTTGAGAAATTATTTCAAGAGTACTCGTGAGAAAGCCTCAGTGCAAACCGTGTTTTATAGAAAAAGCGGCACAGATTCAATTCGAGTATCACTCAAAATTAAACTAACTACTAAAACCAGTAAGCGAGGTTATAATTCGACACATATGAATCGCATCGGAATACTTTTTCGATGCGTTTCATGTACAAATTTCTTAAGCGAAAATCAAAACTGTAGAATATAGAAATAAGGTTTTTTTTGATGGTATCATATAAGAAACCACATTCTATATCACCCTTTATTTCTTATTTTATTTTTAAGATTCAGAACTGTAGTATAAAGTACGCAATGGTGTGTATGTCCCATGCACGCACCCGCGTCTTTACATAGTGAACCACGTAACTGTGTGTATGTGTGTGTAGAAACCAATAGTTGAAGTATAGTAGAAACCAAGTTTTAATTTCAATCGTGTGGTCATAAGCACACACCATTTTTTATTTATGTTGAATGAAAACTATTTTTCTAAATATCGTCGTAACACAGTATACATGCTGCCGTTTTAAGTGAATACGGTGGAGGGTTTTGAAATTAATTGAAATATTTATAAGTATGAAAATAATACTAGGTGTTTTATAAAAGATCTTGATATTGTCATTGGCTTGAAGTGTAATAAACATGTAGCTATTTTGATATTTTAAAATAACAAAAAATTTATAATGTAAAACGGAATACCGTCCAAGCTGTAATATAATACCAACTGTACATTTAAATGAAAGTTCGCGTAATTTAAGTTTGATACGTCTGACACTGAAAACAGCAGCATAGCAAGCGCGGGTACGTGTGTGCGTGTGCGGGCGGTGTGAATGTGTTGATGTGGTGTGGGGGCGACCGTGGGGTGGGTGCGCAGGGCGTGGTGCTGCATGACGGCGTCGAAGGTGTGGTGTTGCGGGGCGGCCGCGGGGGCTGCGGGGTCTGCGGGGACGGGGGCGGGGATCGCGGGCGCGGCGCTCACGTCGTCGCCGCGCAGCGCCGCCAGCCGCAGCGCCTCCGCCGAGCCCGGCTCCGCGTGCAGCGCGCGCCGCAGGTCCAGCACCTGACACAGTACCCCACGCCTGTACCCGGTCGTACCGCACCGCGGCATGCAACGATAAAGCCGTAAACATGCCCCAAACTCTCGGGACCCCCTTCTCAATTTTTCCGTAAATCACGTGAAAACGATGTCCTTTCAGGCGCGGGACCCATAGGCTATTTTAGTCTATCCGATGATAGATATGATAGCTGTTGCTGTTGCAAGACCTGAGGTGCTTGGATAATTATTTTATAAAATAGTAAAAATAAAACTTAAAAAGTTATTATTGGATCTGATTGAAATTTCTATGGGCTCATTATAAAAGTAAGTCTAAATCCACAAAAATCAGTCAGCAAACAGTCGAATTGATAACCTCTTTTTTAAGGCAATTAATTAAATAAATTACTAATTGCCACCTATATCATCAAATTTTGTTGAAATTTAGATGAAAGCACTGTGAAACTGTATCTTTTAAAAAAATAACAAATAGGCAAACTATCCCCTGATGTCCCGTACTACATAAAGAAAAAACAAATTTCGAATTAAAAATCTCCTTTTTTAAGTAGTAATTTTTTAACTTTAATTCACTGAAGTCACTAGAAAATAAAATTAAACATGAAATAATGTTATAAATACATAAATGATTGATAAGCTTTGATAAACGTTTCTTTGATGTGGCTGCCCAAGGATGGAATACGCCACCGTATTTGTTAATACAAATTAAAATACAGACTAAGTCAACTTCAAATTCTAATTAACAACTACAAGATTTTCGTACAATTACTGAATTTACTTTACATAATAAAAATACTATAATTCTTATAAAGTATTAATGTCTACCTGTTAATGAACTGTAATTCGATTTGTTGTTATGGACAAATGAAGAAATTAGTTACTAATAGAAATTATATGGATAAATAAACTTACCTTGCACGTAGAATTGGTTCTCCAAAGAACTATATATAATTCACTTGTATGATACAGAGCAAGATAAAAAAATGTGGACAAAGACCTTGTATCATATTGTCATGTCCAATAAAAAACAAGATACAAAATATGTTATAGTGCAAATAAAAAATAAATTTTATGTATATATAAATAAATAATTTAAAGTCTATAAACTTTGAATTTGAACTGCGTTAAATATAAATACCTTCCTAGCAGCGTTAGCTTTAAGCTCTTGGGGCGAGGCGGCCATGTTAGAAAACGGTACGTCGACATTGAATTTGATAGAATGGAGCAGCTGGACCACAACGTTGGACACGTTCTTGAAAGATAGCTTACGTCGTGATCCTGAGCCCAGACCTACGCCCGCAGATAAGCACATCTGAAATTTAATATATGTAATAAATATACCGTTTAAGTTCTTATTTTATTTAATATTTCATCATGGTGAATATTTTTTGAAATAATAAGCATAAAACTTTGGTCTTTACCAGTAGGTAAATGCTGTGTAGTGGTGAAGAAAGAGAATCAATTACCCCATATCACCTCGTGGGCGTCGTAAGAGACAAGAGGAAAATGAAACACAGATGGACAGCAGGATTTATTTGATTACACAAAACAAAATAACTCAAAATAATAAAAAATGCGGTTGCACAATGCGTCTGGTATATTATATGTTGTAATTTTTTGGTATAATGTCCTCCAGACCGAATTTCGGCCACGGCGGCCTGGCTCAACGGAGGCTGTAGCCATCGGCGCAGGACAGGATTATAGTGCCCAAGTGTATGCGCAAGCACAGGTGCACTCTCTATCCTCTATCTCTCACTCTCATAATCCAATGGGACGGTAAACCGACACGACCGGGAGAGAGATCAGGCGCAGGACCAACGGCTTTACGTACTTTCCGAGGCACGGGGGTGAGACACCGCCAACTTCCTGACTCCGGGCAGCTACTGAGAATTTCTTGACAGAAAAACTCAATAATTGATTTTTTGGCCCGATCCGAGAATCGAACCCAGGACCTCATGATCAGCAGTCGCAATACTACGACCACTAGACCAACGAGGTAGTTTTTTGGTATAGGCCTATGCTCAACAGTGGAACTCTATAGGCTGTAATGGATGAATGAAAGCATAAAGCTGTTGTAAATTATCCTTAATACGTCAAAAATATGAAGATATGAAATTATTCAATGAGTAAAGTTGTGTAAGCTTTCATTGGACCTAAAAATGTCACTTTATTTACGGTCATCTTTTGATACAGACGAATGAGTCCTTTCTACTCATGTGAATAGTTTATCATACTTTTATGCCGGACATTTTTATTGGGCTATTTTCAGTAATATTTCGTCGAATAACATGTTTAAGATTTTTTTGTTGAACACAAACGTATTAGGGTTATATAGACGACTTTATTAATATGTAAAAATAGCGATACGTTAAAAATACGTGGAAATTTCTAGCACTATTCCCATAACTACCCAGACACACATTAACACAAAGTAATGAAAAACGAGGAAAACAAAAGTCCCACTAGTAAATATATTTACCTTCAAGTCATTGTATTTAATTATATTTATTATTTACATAACTTATTGTAAGATTTTAGGTTTAAAAAGAAAATTTTCACATATTGATTGTCTTGCCATAGAAGCACTGTACAATTCAATACTTTAATACGTATATCATACTAAGTATAGTATATTATATTATATAACATTATTATTAAATATGCTATAACAATAAATTACGTTTAGTTTATAGACTTAAACAGTGAGACAAAAACTAAGTAAATATTCGTGATACTTTTCATTTAAAGTATATTTCAGTAGCATAGTGAATTTTTACACTTGTCTATAAAAAGTTAAAAATGCACAACATTTTTTTTAATCATAATATGTGGAATGTATATTGAGTGAACCAACTTTTCGTCGTCTCGGCGGCGGTATGATGAAGTAGGTTTGAACGGAGTGGTCCCGCAGGTAGGCGTTGCGACTAGCTCCGTGCCCCGGCTCCACTTCGTAAGCACCCCCGAGGCATTCCAACGTCGCTTGCGTTACGTGTACGCGGCTGGAATTAATTAACAACTTGTCAAGTTTTACAAGTATTAGAAATAAAAATTAAATTATTATAAATTTAAAATTGCGACTAAAAAACTTGCGTTTAAAATAATTTCTATCTTTTTTATTAAAGCACTTTTTTTTCAGAGAATTGCCAAGAAGAAAAAAGTGGGCTGGTGGTAAACGCTTTCGTTGTTTAGATATCTTAAATTTTACGCTAATTATATAGTCTAAACGACACAGTGCTTAAAACTACTTTAAGTGAATGTATTCAGTCAGATTTAAACCTCTTAGAAATTAGAAGATACCTGTGCCAAGACGTAGGTTGTAACTTTACTTTTATTTAGTAAGAGATTTATCAGTTGAACTGTTTAAAATTAAGACTATTTTAGAGCTTGAAATTTGAAAACTTAAGTTAGTAATTGTTAAAAGTAAAATGTGAAACTAAATAAGTGTTCAGAAACCATACTTAATAACGATTCCTAAAAATAAACATAATATACTTAGAAAATCCAAAAGTACACACCTTGGACGCTCATGTAATTTTTGAATAATCAGTTTACTTTTATTAATTACCGACAGGCGTATTTCGTTTAGGCCCGCCACATACAACTGTACTGGGTGCATGCCCTTAACAATCTAAGGCCGGCCACATACATTCGGAATTCCGTTTCGGGATTCTATTTCGGAATTCCGATTCGGGATTCCGTACATACATCACACACATACATACTTTTTTTTCCGTTCGGAATAACAAGGCTCAGTTGAGAGATGCTAGCCATTGAGTACAGATATTCAGCAAATATGGACGACGATATTGCGATTGCATTGTTGCTAGATACAGGTAAGAAGAAAACATATTGCCGCCGTTACTGGGTGCATCCCTCTAAGATTATAAGATAGCCAGGATTATGTAAAAAGAGCCAAATTACGAGCCTATCCAGAACTATATTTTGTCTTTACTATATTTTAATATAAGTGTAGGTGTATGCAGCTTCTTAAAAATGTGCTTATGGCACACAAAGAACTTATGCAGCTCCTCTGAACTGTGCTGCTTCTATCTTGCACAACACAATTCATATTTTTCACCCACTTGAGTTGAATATCAGTCTTTAGAAAACTATGTAATATAAAATTAACATGCCTGCTTTAGCTATGCGGGACACAAAAAGTATTCTTCATGATGAAAAATATAACCCTCCATGTACTACATCATCTATTCGCTTCGGTCATGCGACCCACACTGGGTGAGTTCCGTACGGAATTTACGAATGTGTTGCGACACATACAAAATCTATGGAAGACTTGCGTCTTTCGTATGGCTTTTTTCCATGCGGGATTCCGAACGTACAGGCGGTCATACAGAATCTCGAATCGGAGAAAATTCCGTACGGAAAAATACCGAACGCGTGTCGCCGGTCCTTGAATTCATATGGACTTGCTGCGTTCGGAATTCCGAAACGGAATTCCGTATGTTGTGGCCGGCCTAAAGCTACAAAAAAATTTCTGTTTAATTAACACGATTTTTTTTAATGCTTGATACCGATGATTCGTATTTTGTTACCGAAAAAAATTGTCATATATTATTGTACGGGACGGTTTTCCATCTTGAATTTCAAAAGGATTCCTAGGGATTAAAATCAAAGCTAATAAAAAAATAAAAGTGAAAAGTCCAGTTTTTCGAAAGATATCTTCTTCACATCCATACCGAACAACTGACGTTCAAGTGTTAGTTTCAATTAACTTTTTTTTTAATAATAATCGAAATAAATAATTTTATAACTACGTCAGACGTACCTCTTGCTATTGGTGTACATTTTTAATTAAATAAGTGCAATATAAAGCTAGTGGAAGTGATTTAAGTTGAGTGGGTCGTGATTTTTTCATTTGGTGGCAATAGAGAGCACTACATCTCGCTTCGCGTTCGATATATGAAATTAATTAAGTCAAATTAACAAAAAATGTTTAGCACGTGGATTGGCATTGACACATTCTGTCACCACTGGTAGCATATTATTACCTAATTCCTTGTGTGTTTAACGTTGCACTGTGCGTATTTTACATCGGACATATATATTACACTATCTAACCATTATACTATTTCTAGAAGTAAGGTTGATAAACGAGCAAAACATAATCCAGAATGTCTATGTCGATGTCGATATCGCTTACTGACACCTTTATTTGTTCTCGGTTGAGAATCAAAATGCAGATGTGTTAACTTACGATACGATACGATGATAAATTTCGTAAGGCTGAAGACATAAAACGGAAAAAATATTCAATATGAATGATTCAGTGTCAACGAATGTAAAAAAAATTATGCCGGGAAAACAAAGAAGGTAACTGATTTTAAAATTTAAATTGTCTGCCGAGCTTCCTCTGTCAGATATTTTTATTCAGTGTTATTTGAAAAAATACGTCATGATAAAAAGATTGTTTATATAGCAGCCTTATGCAACAATTACTAACGACTTACAATAATATAAAGATAATGTTATACCATATGCACAATAGATTTTCTGGCATACCACATTGCATTCTTGCTTTATATAGGTAAAAATCACCACGTAAGTTTTTTTTATTATATTAAAGGTTTAAAAAGTTGAGCACTAATTTCTTAACGAGTCGTAGACTGTATATAGGTAGTAGGCGATGTTTCCCTTTGAATAATCGTTAATTTAAATACTTTTATCAGTCCATTAAAAGTAAATTGCTGGGCATGGACTGCTCCTAAAGAGAGGAAGTTTTGGGGTACTTAATCGTAACTTGAGTATGCCAAATCTAAAATTCTCCAGAACAGTCGAAAGTACAAAACAATTTGTGAAAGCTTATCTCAGTAGTAAGTAATAACGTCATGAGAAGTACTGCACCGGGTACAGTCAAGGGAAGGGATGGGTGCTTGCCTATATTTCTTTAGTACAAAATTATTTGCCGCGCCAAGTAGGTATCGTAACTGGCTATTATGTACTAAAATATCCAGATCGGATCAACTACTGCTAGTCCGTCCTTCAGTGCGAGAACACCATATTCAGCAGAGGACTATAATAGAGAAGAAGCTAAGTGTTGAGTTTAGTATCAAGTTGTCTGAATTTGAGTCTGTCACTGTGTGGGGGGGGGGAGTGTTAAAGGGGCTTATTTCAAGCGTCTCCATGCAATATTAGTCGCCGGAGCTGCGTCGCAATAATTTATTTATATAAATAATAAAATAATTTATTTTATTATTTAAAATCATTTTTAAAAATATTCATAAATCCCTTACCTAAAACGGAATTTAAATTACACAAGGAACATGGGTACACCCGCAAAAAAAATCAACCATTAGGACGCTGGCAATTCATTAGTGGCTCCAGACGTAACTCACACACAAAGGATTGAGTCACAATTGAGAGCCGCGAAGTGTTTAAAAAAAAGATTATTACATTAATACAGAGAGTTTTGGTGATGCGATAGTGGAGTACTTGTGTAGGTGGAACATTATGAAATATACTAAAGATCCATTTTTGGAAATGGTGGAAATGATAAAATATGTTTACTTATTAAAATAAACATAAAAGTTAACATTTTGATGTTTTATTTGGTGCAAGAGCGAGCGAAGTGAGCTCGGGACTTGTGACACTCCGATCAGACAGGTTAGGTTAGAAAGGTAGAGTAAGCGAACGAAGCTAGCGAACGGACCCCGCCATCCACTTTGTGGTTATTTTTTTATAAACCACCCAAAAATAGGAGCCCCGCTTAGCGGACCTCCGTCACTTTATTATTACTTCGGCGGAGGGGGAACACGTTCTCCCAGCCCCGCTTCCCTATTAAGGCGATTTTTCTCAGAATTCATTCAATAAAATTTTTATCTTTGACATTTAATACAACTCCTCTACCCTTAAGTTCTATTAAGGCGACTTGATACTAAACGTTTACCGAAGGTATGAGTGTTTTCAATTGCAGCGTGTACAATGTATTTATTGATAATTTAGATATATGAAGTGACCCAGCAGTGTCGAAGTGGCAATTTAATATGAAGGGCTAAAATAATAGTCATAATAAATTATCGCCTGTGTAACGACATTATCAATAGGTACTCGAGTACGTGGTGCGTTATCAAAAATTTCTAGTACGACGACATTTACAAGAGGATATTTCTAATTAACGGTAACACCATTGAAGTAATATGTACTTACGTACTAGAACAGCTATCTCAAACAAAAAATGTGCGCTACTCTGTGTTCACGCGGTTGTTTTTTTTATCATAGAATAAATATAGGTAGAATGATCCGTAGGTAATAGTAGATTGTATTGTTAAATAAGTAAATTATATCGAGAAGAATATTTAAATTTCGTCATTTATTTTGTATATTATATTTGCTTATTTAATATAATATTACATAATATTATATCACAATTACATTTTAATGATGTCTAATATAAAAAACGTACTAAATGTATGTTTAACAAAACTTATTAATATAACATTTAAATTACAAATATATTTATTTAAATTAGAATAAGAGCCGTTCTGCTGAGTTCGTAATGCTGGGCACGCGAGAGTTAAAAATGGACGAATTTATTCCACTTTGACTTTGATGTGGAAACCCAAAAATAAAATAAAAGAATAATAAGCAGATTTAAACATGAAAATTTAGCCTAGTTATAATAACTTATATATGTTTCTACAAAAAAAATGTGTATATTAATATATTCGTTCTATACTTAAGTACCCACAGAAATGTCGCATCTAAACATGTTAATTACATAATCTATATTCCATGACGAGATGGCGTCTTAGGAATAATTTGTTTTATTAATAATCTATAATACTTTTTTATTGGTTAAGTATCTTATTAACCGATGAAAAGTAATTCCTTGGTTTTTACTGACATTTCTTGAATTATTTGTGCAATATCTAAGTACATACGACGGCATATTTTTACCAAGAGATTTTTTTATAATCAACACAACACGTGACAACTCTACAAGCGCCTAGCCAAGTGACTGATTAAAGTGCGGTGTATGCACCGCAGTTGAGTGGAACAGAATAGCTGAATGCTGGGTCGCCTCTAGTACGTAGTACATAATAGCTCGATGGGTAACACTTATAAAATATTCCCAAGTGCTTCATAGGATTTTTCTATTATTATACGCATCGATATATATGTATTACGCACTAGATTTGGCATTCCGAACACTCACTATGTTCAACTGAATTGTACTGCAATTCGTACACCTGTTATTGTGGCTTCGATATTCATGCAGTGCGGAGCGGCGAAATTTTATAAATAAATTAGCACATATGCAAAATGAAAGAAAATTTAAAAAAATATACTCGATTAACAATGGGTGCGTTTGGCAGAAATAAGCGCTAGCAAGCGCTTACAAGCGCTGAAATAGTTTTCGGCCAGGACACGATTGCTACTTCAGTAGCGCTGACACAATCCGCCATTTTGCATATTTTATTTGTTTGTTTTGAAGTAGAGATTATAAGTTTTTTTGTGCAATATTAGTTTTAAGTAATATAATGACATGAATAGACATATACATGTTAATAAAAATTCATGATTGGTAAGTTTTTAACACGAATACTTTACAAACATATAAATTAGGTTAGCTTCCCCGGTTAAAACTAACTTCGTGTCCTAGAGGAAAATAGCTACTTACGATTTGACAGCGCTTACCGCTTACGATCGCTATTTTGCTTACAAGCGCTTGCTAGCGCTTTTTTCTGCCAAACGCACCCATTGCAATCTAAATAAACAATTATTTATTGTGACAATTTTCGCGCGTTTATATCAACTGCGCATGCGCGACGCTACTGTTTCCCGCGCATACGCGGATACAGAGAAGTGCACATTATTTGTTTGGAATAGCTTCTCTAGAACGTAGTACATATAACTTTATGATTATAAACCAGTGCTTGACTACAATCCCAACAGCGGTAAACGGTGATGGAGCTGTGAATGGTACATCGCATCGTAATTTTAACATTATTCAATAACTTACCCTGGTTCTCCTCCAGCTTCCATGTTGTTCGCGAGCGTTACGTCATTGGACCACACGTCGTACTGCCACTTGCGTAGCCCCAGCACGCCACACAGCACCCGCCCCGTGTGGATGCCCACGCGCATGTTCAACTGCACATCTGTCGCTTCTACTACTGATCTGTAACAAATTGTGCAATTTAATATTAATTTTTTATGCACCTAAATAAGGTCGAAGTCCTTCGTTTTTTATGTTTTCTAGTCGGATAGCAGGAATTTAAACACATAACTAGTGGACGTTGTCCTGGTTAAGACGTACTAGGAGGACGTTAATATTGTATTATAGATGCATATATTTAAAGAATCATACGAGTTTGATGATTTGACTGGGGAAAGTTTGGCTATTCCAAACAAGCGACACGCCATTATACTGATTAAAATTTAAAACATCAAAATAATTATGTTGTATTTGCGGCTTTGGGTAAATTCTTGGTATACGCAAAATAAAAATATTTGGAAATTTCTAAAATGTTAGATTGTTTGAAAAAATGTTTGACAAAATTTCAAAATTGTTGGAATTTCAGAAAAATATTTTTCTTTGAGAAATCTAATCTATGTTATACATGATTAGTTATTCTATGAAAACAAACAAATTTCGTGGTGACCGCAACGGGGTCGGATTCGAGTTGATCAAACTGAAATTAAAAACGGGAGCTCTGCCTCTGAATCTTTTGGTATATTATATACCTACATAATTCTGCTACGTGTTTTTCGCGTGTTGTGGTTTAAGAAATAATTTTTGTTTTTATAAATGACAACGAGTCACAGAAATCGTAATAATAAGACAATAAGAATGAACCATATATAAGTACCCAATGGTATTTACGTAGATAGACTAACGCAGCGTCGATTTTTGTTTTATACCTATGAGGTATAAAGCTTGTGTCTAAGACATAAGTGTTAATTGATCATTGTGTGGCATTAAAACTATACATAAATAGGGTTTAGAATTTAATTAAAATTTAATTGAAGAAGACCTTGTCGCCGCTATCATGTGTTGTCGAACATAATTCACCATTTTGTGATTTAATTGTGCAGGGAACGTCATACGTGAGTTTACGTTATTACGTTATTATAAATTTATAATGGTGAACTGCAGCATAATCAGTTGTAAAAACTCAACAAGTACGTGTAATTCAACTAATAAAGGTATAACATTTCCTCGGTAAGTTGATTCATCATCATCATCATCATTACAGCCCTTCACAAGTCCACTGCTGAATATAGGCCTCCCCCAAGTAATGCCACAAAGCACGGTCCTGAGCCAATTGCATCCATCGACTTCCTGCATGTCTTACCAGGTCGTCACTCCATCTAGTGGGGGGTCGCCCTACACTACGCCTACCGGTACGAGGCTGCCACTCGAGAACCTTTCTTCCCCATCGGTTATCGGTTCTTCGAGCTATATGGCCGGCCCATTGCCACTTCAGCTTACTAATCCGTTGGGCTATGTCGGTCACTCTGGTTTTACTGCGGATATCCTCATTTCTGAGTCTATCACGCAGAGAAACTCCGAGCATAGCCCTCTCCATAGCTCGCTGAGCGACCTTGAGCGTCCTCATACGGCCAGCAGTGAAGGACCACGTCTCTGATCCGTAAGTCATCACTGGCAACACGCACTGGTTGTACACTTTAGTTTTCTGAGATTGAGGTATACCTGACGAGAAGGTGTGTCGTAATTTCCCGAACGCTGCCCAGCCGAGTTTAATCCGTCGATTGACCTCTCGTTCGAAGTTGGACTTACCTAGTCGGACTATTTGTCCCAGGCAAACGTACTCGTCAACAACTTCGAGCATAGTGCTCCCCACAACTACCGGCATAGGTGTGACATGGACATTGAACATAATCTTTGTTTTGTCCATGCTCATCTTAAGACCTATCCGTTGGGAGACACCATTGAGGTCATTGAGCATAGTGCTAAGGTCCTCCAGCGATTCTGCCATAAGGACTATATCGTCGGCAAATCGAAGGTGAGTGATGTACTCGCCATTGATGTTAATACCGTATCCTTTCCAGTCCAGTAGCTTGACGTCTTCCAACGCAGCGGTGAAGAGTTTCGGGGATATAACGTCACCCTGTCTTACACCTCTCTGCAGTTGGATAGGTTTCGAACTCTGGTTCTGTACTCGGATAGCCATCGCAGCCCTACTGTACAAACACTTCAGCACCTCGATATACCGACAGTCAACTTGGCACCGCTGAAGGGACTCTAGCACCGCCCAAATTTCGACGGAATCAAAGGCTTTCTCATAGTCCACATACGCCAGGCAAAGTGGCAGATTGTACTCTTCGGTCTTCTGTACAATCTGCCGCAGGGTTGTATGTGGTCTATGGTACTGAAGCCTTTTCGGAAACCGGCCTGTTCGGGAGGCTGGAAGTCGTCGAGTCTGCGTGCGAGACGATTCGTAATGACTCTCGAAAACAGCACGTAGACGCGGCTCAGAAGGGAAATCGGTCTGTAGTTCTTCAAGAGAGCGTTGTCGCCTTTCTTAAAGAACAAGACCACCGCACATCTGCTCCACGCCTCCGGAGTAGTGCCACCATGGAGGACGGAATTGAAGAGCTTCTGAAGGACTACAAGTACCGGTGTTCCACCCGCTTTCAGAAGCTCCGCTGTAATTCCATCCTCGCCTGGGGCCCTGCCGTTTTTAAGGTGCTGGAGAGCCATTCTAATCTCGCTCAGACTGACGTCCGGGATATCATCGGAATAGTGTCGGGTAAGACTTGCTCTTGGATCGTTACTCACACTTGCGTGTGGCTCCAACGATGATGTGCACAGCTGCCCATAGAACCTCTCAATCTCACTCAAAATCTCAGGTGTCCCGGAAACGATGCTGCCACACTCAGTCTTCAGCTTTGACAGTTGGCTCTTACTGGCAGACAGATCTCTGGCAAAGACTTTGGAGCCCTGGTTCCGCTCGATCGCTTCTATAATACGAGCAGTATTAAAGTTGCGTAAGTCTTGCGGCATGCATTTGGAGATCTGTCTGTTCAGTTGCCTGTATGCTGTCAAATCTGTTGACGATTGCAGCCTCGTCTCCCGTCTAACAGCCATGAGATTAAGAGTGTGATCGGAGAGTTTTGTGTTCTTCTGCGGCGGATCTTGCAGAACTTAGCTCCGACCGCATGGACAGTTTCCACGAGCTTGTCATTCATATCGTCCACTGCATTGCAATCTTCTAGGCACTGAAAGCGGTTACGTAACTCGAGCAGAAAAGTCTCGGGATTCTGGATTAGAGCACGAGGGAGACGGAGCGTTGACTTCATTAGACGAGACCTCTCCAACTTAACGTTTAGGTTCAGTGTGCCTCTAACCATTCGGTGATCGCTGTCGGTTTTCACCCTTGCGATCACTGAGACTTCACTGAACAGTTGGCGTCTGGTCGTCATAATGAATTCAATCTCATTTTTTGTCGAACCGTCGGGGCTCGACTAGGTCCACTTCCCGTGGGGCCGCTTCTGGAAGAAAGAGTTCATCATAAAGAGTCCCTCTTTCTCCATAAAGTCAGCCAGCTGCTGGCCCCTACGGTTCCGTTGCCCTACTCCAAATTTCCCTAACTTCAGCTCACCGCCTTCTCTTGTGCCTAGTTTTGCGTTGAAGTCTCCCATCAACACCGTGTAGTGGGTTTTGGAAGAATGCATGGTTCTAGAAATATCCTCATACATTTCCTCCACCTCCTCATCGGGATGTGCCGAGGTTGGTGCGTAGACCTGTATGACCTTCAGCGAATACCGTTTGGTGATTCTGAGTATCAGGTACGCGACCCACGTCGACACACTCCCAATCTTTACAACGTCTTTACAATGAGAGACTTGTGGACGATAAATCCGACACCTCCTTGGGACAGATGGGCACCCTCCCGGTGATAGAACAAGTTGCCGGACTCGAGGATTACCGAGTCCTCCCCCTCTCTTCGGACCTCAGATAATCCAATAATATGCCAGCGCAACTTGTCTACCTCTTCTTCCAGCTCCAGTATCTTCTCGGCAGTCCTCAGGGTGCGTGCGTTATACGTTGCCAGGGCGAGTCGTCGTAGGTGGCAACCGAACCTCCACCGGAGATTCTTAGCACCCCCTGCCCCGCCGTTACCATGGTCGCCACCGTAGCCAGGAATAGCGGGGCCGCCGGGGAATGGGGGCCATTTATTTGTGTCGTTGCTCATGAGGGGATACTTGCCATAGTTGCCAAGCTTGGCGAGCGGGTTTGCAACCGCAGTTTTTTATTATGTTATTGTTGTTATTAGGAAGATGCTTCTGCCCATCTCCTTTCTGTGTCCCTCTGTCGCCTCTTACGACACCCACGGGAAGATATGGGGTAGTGGATATTCTCAACCGCCACTACACGGGAAAGTTGATTATTTACTAATTTATCATTGTTTTAACTAATTTACATGTAGAGAATACTTTACTATGGTATTTACCTTTTTAAACTTTCATTTATTACTTTTCGTATTGTACAATTACCATTGCTGCTTTTGTTCTACGTTGACAAACTCGCTAAGCAATGTAATGTGAAACATTAGATAACATAGTGCAATCTGCGTATGTTTAAAACACGGTAAGATGTGGCGACATCGGTTTTGGAAGTAATCGAGCGCTAACTCATTTCTATTGTCTTATTATTACTATTTCTGTGCTACGAGTATATCCACATAAATAGTAATAATAAGATAATTATATCGGCGTAGTGAAGTGATGACCCACCCCACCGCCCGCTGATGTGACGGTTATGTGTAAAAACTGCTACGTCAGTGCAGTCAGTCAGCACCTTGCCAAGAGGTGTGAGTGCTGTGCCGCGGCAAAATTGAAGGTGCAAAGGCCCGCTTGTGCATATGGCCTCACCATGAAATGGCACCGCGTCTGGGCGTCTACGTTACAGAAGAACGCGTAAAGGGCGACCTCTAGGCAGCACGCGTTTACGCGTGCTGCCTAGAGGACCACGTGGAGGTCGCCAGGGCGCGTCTGGAGCTGACGCTGGACGCGATAGCATGCGAACCGCCAGCCGAGCGCGAGGTGCTGCACGACCAACCAGCAGGCCCCTACATCCATCATCCTCACCAGCTTGCTTGGTGTCGGCAGGGTCTTCGCAGGCCCAGCAATCGGCACCCACCATTGGTGGAG